CCACTTTATATAATAAAATACATTCATAACCCATATATAGTAAACAGTGTGGGACTTCACTATCATTGTATGATATAAGAATCAGCAGCTTTTTATCACATTTACACAACACTTTATGAATACAAGCAATGAACAACTCTTAAATATGGCAGGGAATGTGGTTTTTTTTTAGTTTTGATTTTGAGCAGCAAATTTGAAGTTACATATTGGTGCTCACCTGGAATGCATAAGCAAAATTGCACAAATTTTCACTTGAAAGAATAGTGAACAATCTTGGGATTTTTTTTCTGTTTCAAATAGTGTGTAAATTGAATACACTTCATCTTCAGCATGTTTAGTGCCACTTTTGTAAGTGGCCACGCCCCGTCCAGGCCACGCCCATTTCCGCTTTTTTCATCACGAGCCATTGTCATCCCTGGAATTTGCCTCGAGTGACAGTAAGAGACAGAGAGGTTCTGGGACGTGACTAACTAGCTGCCTTTGGTATTGTTTCAAGTTAAAAAAAACATATACCGGTGTTTAGGATAAATAACATTTTTTAAAATCAATTTGTGTGACCTCTTTCTTTACAAATATCCCACGTTTACACGTGGCTATTCATGTGAAGTCGCCAGTGTATGTACAAATTTGTTTTTATGGCTAAATTGAACCATTGTGGCTTTTAATCAGGTGTGTTTTGTAGTCTGGAAATCACATTGCTCATGTCACCTTTTTTAAGTGGGTTTGTCAACAAATTTGGGATATGTTGACAGTCTTATGCAGAGTGTTCTTGATATTTGGAGAAATGTCAAAGCCGTGTATACAACAAGGACACCTGCTCTATGGCATTGTTCGTGGAGGTGTATAGTGGTAAAATGAAAAAAGCACATGCGATGGAACAGAAAACAGTGGTTCCACCATCACTCAGAATGTGCGATCATGATTGCGGCTCATTGAGTGACCGGTTTGACAGCCATCCAAGCGATGCACATACTTTCACAGCTGCTGGAGTGGCAGTCCTTGGCTCTGAGGCAGCCTTCTCGCCCTGGGCAAATAGCCAGCTGCTGTGCTCATTTTTGCTCGCGTCATCCTGTTTTGGTGACAAAAGTCTTAAGGACTGAAATTGAAAATTTGGGGCCGTCTTTGGCCGAACATGTTCCAGGGACTGAATGTGCATCACCGGTATCTAGTGGAGCATTGCCATTGAAAGTATTCATTCCGAAAGAAAACTCAAGATTTTCTATCAGATCTGCTTTTGGGGTGTACAGTATGTACTACGTTGAGCTCAAAAGTGCGATTAGTCTTCACTTGTCCCACTGTACAAACACATTGTAACTAAAATTATTCAACATTAAGATTTGAAACACAATGGCCAAAACATCCTAAAGGATGGACACTTGTGTCAACCGTTTTGCCTCTTGCACCTCACTTGAGTTTATTCAGCATCCCATCTGCTAGACACATCCTCACATTCACCCTTCAGCCCTTGGGCCTTTGATCACCTAACAATATATTTCTTTGACAGAGACAGCCGTTGATAGACAGATCACATTCCCACTTTCCAATGTCCTCCATGCCAATGGGGAGAAGAATGGTCGACCTTCAATGCATGACTTCACTGAGGACATCCAGCTCATGGACATCGAGGACACATCGGGTAAGAATTTAAGTCTTTATGCTCTTTATACTCTATGCATTTTCTTTACCGCATATCCTCATTATGCCAAGCCCAGACTGCACGATTTGGGCCCGATAACCACGTCGCAGATAAACGGTCACTTTCGTGGCCAATTATGAGTTGTCTTAAAGCGTCGCACCCCCAATAGTGTCACATAATCCAAAACTGTTAACCACAACATGGAAAGTCTGGCGTGTCACATTTATTTATTTATTTATTTATTTACTTACTTACTTACTTACTTACTTATTTTACTTTACATCATGCGCTTGTGTGTTATTTCATTGACACTTGACAGTACATCATATGGCACGTCCGACATGGCCCCACGATCTCTTCATATCGGCACTCAATGGGAGCGGGCGCCATGCGCTTGTGTGTTATTTCATTGACACTTGACAGTTATTTGGGGTGTGCTTCAGCAGAAACACCTACAGTGTTTGAGAGGGGAGAGAATGGCTTGATTTTTCACAATTTTGAAGTCTTATGTACATGAAGCCTTTTTTTTTTTAATTAAAGAACTCAAATTTTAAAGACATATACATAATTGTCACTTTACAGTGACTTTAATAAAGTCTAGCAAAGGTAATGTCTTTCTTTGGCCCAACCCTTTCTAAATAAGGAAAAATAACTAGAATCACACTTGACATTGGAACCGAAATCGAACTGAAGCACTATACTTGCGTCAAAGGCCGATTACTGTCCAACATGTGTAAAACATTGCCATGTATTTGTTGTAGGCTCCATGTTATGTCCATTCTTAGAAGAGCACAAAGAGGATATCTTGTGTGGACCAGTGTGGCTTGCCAGTGGGTTGGATCTCTCAGGTCATGCTGGCATGCTCAGTCTCACCAGCCCAAAGTTGGTCAAAGGTATGAAAAGGCAAACCTTGGTTAAAACCTAACCTGAACCCAGTAGGTGTTGATGAAACCAACAAATGAAGTTGAATGTATCAGTGTTCTCCAGTCCAATTTATACCTTGTCTGCAGGCATGGCTGGTGGGAAATACCGCTCCTTCCTGGTTCATATCAAAGCAGCGAGTGACAAAAACATGGAGGACAGCCCCCGACCTGTTGTGAGAATGCCCAGTGCCAAACCCCAGTGCTCCAAATCGCACTCTTTGTCCACCCTGCTTCAGAGGGCTCAGGCCTCCAAGGTGTGTGGTCATTAGATTGATGCCGGTTTGATGTGATTGATGTGAGGTTTGTGAGATAGTTGTAAAATTCATCATGTATGCTTTCAAGCAGGCTTTCAAGCAAACCAATATGATGTTTTTTTGCAGGACAAGGTGTCTGGAGTTAAACCAGATTGTCAAGCATCTTCTAAGAAAGTAGAAAACATGAGAGGCTGCGACCTGTTGCAGGAAGTATCTGTGACAATCCGAAGGTTCAAAAAGGCATCTATTCCCAAAGAAAGGTAAATGGGTTGCACTTTTAGAGGAAGCCCGAGTTTTCTTGGTCTGGCGTTCACAAATTCGCCATTTTTAAAAAATTATATGATTGTCATTATTTTATTTTATATTTGTTTTCAACCAATCCATTATTTCTGTAAAAACAAAACAAAACAAGCCTACTACTGCTCGAAGACAGCCAATTCGCAACATGACAAAAAGCCTGAAATGTTTTGCTTTTTTTTTTTTTTTTTTTTTTTTTTTACGGCGAGACTACAATGTCCATGTCTGCTGTAACTGCTTCGACTCACAATAGTTTTGCCAAAGTAGAACTAAACATGGCATCAAAATCAATGGAATACTATGCAACAGCTGTGTTGTATAGTTGTTGCGGTAATGAAGTACTAATAATTATTAATGACTGCAGTACACTTAGCTGCCACTGGAGGCAGCACATTGTTTTTTTTTTTTCTTTAGTAAATATCCATCCATCCATCCATTTTCCGATCCGCTTTATCCTCACAAGGGTCGCGGGGGGTGCTGGAGCCTATCCCAGCTGTCTTCAAGCAGTAGGCGGGGGACACCCTGAACTGGTTGCCAGCCAATCGCAGGGCACATAGAGACGAACAACCATCCGCACTCAACCTCACACCTAGGGACAATTTAGAGTGTTCATCCAGCCTGCTGTGCATGTTTATGGAATGTGGGAGGAAACCAGAGTACCCGGAGAAAACCCATGCAGACAGAACAGACCTCTGCACTGTGACGTCGATGCGCTAACCACTGGACCACCGGGCCGCCCTTTAGTCAATAAAAAGCTTAAACAGATGAAAAACCTATAAAAATCAGTCATTAGTTAGATGGCTGCTGCATTTAGAGTTTTGAGTTCGCATTTGAAGCTTGGAGGTTGATAACTTTTATTTAAGCACACACACAGTACACAATACAGTTTTATGAGGTGAAAGTTTATTCTCCACATCTACATGGGAATCGGGAGGAATACGCCATAAGAAAATTAATTACAGTAGAAAGAGTAGCATAGAATGAGAATATGAAAGGATAATAGAAAATTAAAACAATGAAAACACAAATGAAACGAAAAATTGATGATCTTAGCACGAGATAGTGTTAACTCTCTAAAATGATGGGCACGCGGCTCCATGAGTAACTTAGCCCCTTTAAAACCCAATTTTAGGCACCAATTGTCTTTTGCACACTGGTAATTTTGCAAATGTTAGACTCCCTAATTGTCTCACGGGGGCTGAGCTTTGGAAATTCAACCTAATTCGAGCCTCGCAGTCGAGCTGGTCAAGTTGTGAAGACAGGAAGTGGCAGGAAGAATGATGTTCCTCCTGCGGTTTGCTGTGCAGTCAGTTGTTCGTTGTTTTACACCGAGCTACACAACTACAGTAATTTTTATTCATCATCTAAATTATTGACATGTACTTACAGGCACTGTGAATTGTGTAGATATGTGCTTAGCTATAAGGTGTTTACCAGGGATGTCTTTGATCACATTTTCCCAGTCAGTCACCTGTTTTCGAGGATCGAATTCCTGAACCGATACCTCGGCATTGTATTATGGGGGGGGAAAAGAAAAGGTCCAGCCAAATTGTCTTAATTATTTCGTTTTTTATTTACTTAGCTTTTTTTTTTTAAACAACAAAAAGATTACCAGTCGGCCTTGGTCCTTAATAGTAGGTGTCTACTTTAAAGCTTTGTGTTTCCCCAAAATTATATTTTGTTGCTTTTTTTTTTTTTTTTAACACAACATATCAAATACAATGAATTACATGCATTAATGCTGATATGAATTTAAATTGACCTTCTCTAAAACGTTTCAATTCACCTGTCCAACTGTTAAATGTTGCAGAGTTTTTTGGGGCAACTTACTTTTCTGCAACAAAGAGCTGAACAGCAACATTTTTTGAAATCATTATTTTTTTTAATTACCTGCCATGCCCACTTCTATACCTTCCTGTGACTGTTCCAGTCTCTCTGCATCTCTGTTGCAACCCGCTGATGAAACTCTGAAAACATCATGCCTTGCGAGATATTGTTGATTAAGTGTTTGGTGTTGTCTTTATCTATTTATCTAGTTAAATTGAAATGTGGCTTTCTTTTCTGTTTTAGGGTCCAGCGTTGTGCAATGCTGCAGTTTCCAGACTTCCATGAGAAGCTGCTGGATGCACTGTGCCAGCGGACACAGGGTAGCCTATCCACAGAACATGCCCAAGGCCTCATCCTGGACATCTTATGCTGGCTGGCTGGTGTTTTTTCCAATGGACCGTGCAGGTGTGATTAATCCGTGATGTGATTTGGTAATGTTATGGGGGTTACCTTCCAGACCATCCCCGCAATAAGTGAACTGCGTGATATAGAAATACACTCTTTAAATACTGTTTGTTTCTAGGCCTGTTTTTTACAGCGTGCAGGGCACTTACTGTACTTTATACATGACATCATTGGCATGCTGCTCATGTTATCCTCATGACTTCTTTTTAGCTTACGAGAAGGAAAGGAGGGGCTGCTGGCCAAAACCAGATTGAGGCTAATGGATATTGTTGCAGTTTGTTTCTTTGAGGCCGGCCGGAGCATAGCTCACAAGTGCGCACGCTTTCTTGCCCTTTGCATCAGGTGAGCGACATTGACCATGTCTTTATTGATGAGGTTGTGGTCAGGTTGTTTCATCGTAATATTTTTGTCCTCTTGCTGAAGCAACGGAAAAGGCGATCCTGGTCAACAAGGTTTTGTCGCGAGTCTTCTGAAGGCTCTCCTGGACAATATGCCCTACTTGCCTGCTGCAGCAACAGGCGGTATGTAGCAGAACAGCAGCACAATAAGACATTCGGAACCATCTTCCTGTCTAATTGTATTCTATCTTTGGATTTTTTTCTTCCAGGCTCAGTGTTCTGGTACTTTGTGCTGCTGAACTATGTCAAGGAAGAGGACCTGGCAGGTTGTAGCACCGCCTGTGCTTCCCTACTCACGACCATCTCAAGACAGCTGCAAGACCGACTCACCCCAATGGAGGCACTACTGCAGACCAGGTATTTTCCAGTTCATGACTACTTATTTAAGAATCATTTTGATCAGATATTAATGATCTGATATTGCAGTCACTACCGCCAAAATGCAAGGTTATTTTATTGCCAGTTCAGTTTCACATTTTTATTACTTTTGTAAAGATTATAGTATGGAAAATGTGGGTAATGCATCATGTCAATGGTTTTACAGCCTGAGATCCCCTTTTTTCTTTCTCAAGACAAGAAAGTTATCAGTAACAGTGCTACCTTAACTTGACAGAGTATTCAAGACTATTTTTTCCAGGACAAGATACTTTTTCTATCTGTTACAGCCATCTCTTACTGTAATATCTACTATTGGTTTCTTTCCAGATATGGATTATACAGCTCTCCTTTTGATCCAGTGCTCTTTGACCTGGAGGTCAGTGGGTCCTCCTGTAAGACTGCCTTCAATAGCAGCATTGGGGTCCAGTCAGATGAGATTGACCTCTCTGACATTCTCTCAGGTAAGAGTAATATGCATTCTTGTATAATCCGTGTAATTCTGAGGACTGAAATCATAATAATGGTACTGCAGATGTTCTTGATACCAATTGTTGTATGTATTTATGTATGTATTTTATCAAGCTCTGACTGACAAAATATATAATTGTCTCGCATGTAGATACGCACTGATTTTAAACTGAACGGACAGCAAGTCAGCTTATTTATTTCTCACATTTACAAAATCTGCACAAGAGCTGACAAATTTGTTATCCTTTGGAAACACATTTTTAAACCCTGTTGTGTGTGGATATAAATCAACTCCCCTCAGGGCTAAGCAAAGATGTGGTCTTAAAAATGTCATTGTTCATATGGACGTGACCTATGAGATTTCACCTTTTATTCCTAAACTAAACTACAGGATTCTCTGTGCAATGGTGTCTTTTTTTTCTGCAGGGAATGGAAAAGTAAGTAGTTGTGCTGCAGCAGAGGGAAGCTTCACAGCACTGACGGGGCTCCTAGAGGTAGAGCCTTTGCACTTCTCTTGCATTGCCACTAGTGACGGTACTCGAGTGGAGCGCGATGATGCCAGCATGTTCACTGGTGAATATGACACATCTTCATTTTCTCTACCATTGTCTCAGGTCAACTCGCCATATGAGGTGTTTTGTCTATGTGTCTGTTCTTTCCTCAGTAAGTACATTTGGCGTTACTCCTGCGGTTGGCGGTCTGTCGACAGGAACGGTTGGCGAAGCTTCTAAAGCTCTTAGTTCTGCAGCACAAGTGGCCCTGCAATCTCTGTCTCATGCCATGGTGTCAGCCGAGCAACAGTTACAGGTTCTACAGGAGAAGCAACAGCAGCTGCTCAAACTGCAGCAGCAGGTGAAAAAAAAAACTCATTTTCAATTAAATATTCAGTTGGATTTTTATACTGCCAAAAAAAAAGTGTTAACACGCTAAATACGAAATAATCATCAAAAACTTAACCTATTATGTCATGATTATACAGGGTCAGTGCTGGTCGCGGCATTGCTATCACTCAAATAGGCTTAATGTTGAACACCGTTACTTAGCTTGACAAAGATGATGGATGCATCAACATCTCAACAAGTGAAGGAGTCATGGCCATCACTAGGGTTGCGGGGGGGAAAAAGTCAACCGAGTCGATCACAAAAAAATGCTTAGTGCCTCGCCGGCACCATTTTGCCGTCCTCACAGACATTCCCAGGCCACATCCATGGTACTCCATCCAAACCTTTTCACAGTTTATATAGCACCCTCTCTTGGTAGAAAGTTGAACTGCAATCAATGATATTTTCCAGTGTTACAACTGTACCGGTAATATGTTTCGTATACAGGTAGTTTTTATACCAAATGCCCTTTCTAATGCACTTGAGTTGTTAGATTAGGCCTCTTTGACACTAATAATTAGAAAGGTGACTTGAGTTAGGTCGCTGTGACCTTTCCTCCTCTTTAGTACCAGGATGCTACATGAAGCCTATTTTGGTGGTGGCCCTGTCCGCACTGCACTGGTATATTTATGATATATTATGAAAATTTCAGTGAGTATTTCATATTCGGCATCTTTATACTATATTATATAAGCCTTTAAAAAAAGGTGACTTAGGAGTAGATACTTTTTTTTGCATGGTATGTTTTCTTTTTTTGGTGCAGTGTAAAATCTGACTCAATATTTAACATTAATTTCTAGGCTTTATGTCTTGTTGAAGCCTAACGCAAGTATTTAACCTGACTCACAAAAAATGTGTACAGAGCGGTAAATAAATCTGGGATGATTGATCAATATATGTGAGTGAAACTCAAAATATTGATTATTAATTATGTTTATTTCATTATATTTAGTTTTTGATGTTTTTACTGGCGCAGTCGGTCCAGCATCAGCGAACTTTTGGCGGCCCCAGGCCACTGTGCCACTGTTCATGTCGAGCCCTGAGTAAATCTCTGTGTGTCTGCTGCAAGCAGAAGGCCAAGCTTGAAGCCAAACTGCATCAGACCACATCTGCAGCTGCCGCAGCCGCCTCTGGTGTGGGGCCCATCCACAATTCAGTGCCTTCCAACGCCTCCTGTGCTCCGGGTTTCTTCATTCATCCCTCTGATGTCATCCCCCCAACACCTAAGACCACACCCCTCTTCATGACACCTCCTCTCACACCTCCGAATGAGGCTGTGTCTGCAGCCTTCAGCGCAGAGCTGGCTCACCTCTTCCCTGGCTCTATGATGGACCCTGGACCAGTTAATCTCGCAGCACACAAGAATTCCCAAAAAGTCAAGCCGGTTAGTGATGCTGCAACCATTTCTGTAAAGCAAGTGTTTTACTTGTTTTTCAATGGAAGCATCGGAGTTTGATATTTAATTTGAAGGAATCATTTATTTGAATTTTGAATCTTTATTTATTTATTTATCCCCCCGCAGACTCCCATGGGCAGTGGTTTGGCTTTAGCTATTTCTCAGGCATCTCATTTTCTGCAGCCTCCTCCACACCAGTCTATCATCATAGAGCGGATGCACTCTGGTATGCCACACGCGTCACACATTTTTTATTTATTTTTTGGTCAGTTCAGTGTGTCAAACAGAATTTGTGTTTTCTTTATAGTGCAATCTACACATTCTGTCTTGATGGCCTCCTCTTCATAGACATTACACTGAACAGTGTTGCTCTTTCTGATGCCTTCAGTCAGTTGTATTTCAGTGGAGTAACTTAAGCCAACGCATGCCCTACATTGCACTCCAAATTATTATACCGAGGTTTATTAGAATTTTATAAATAGCCTATTGAAATGTTTTTGTTTAGTTTTTTTACAATCCACTCTTCCAAATTATGAACAATTGTGTTTCAAGATATGTTATAGGTTGTATTAAAAATTAAAAAAAAAATTGAATTTGCAGCTTCAAGAGGTTCTGTTTGCTGAAATCAAAAGCTATTTAAGTCCAAAACATTTTAAGAGGGAGTCAACCCAAAACATTTCTTTACAAAAATATGTTCATTGCACTGCCACTAGTCTAAGTACGGCATTCAGAATAATAGTGCATTTGTCGATTCTGAGGTAAGCAATAAAATAAACCTGTTTTTGTCCATCTCATGGGGGCGGCCGCTTTTCCACTTGTCGATGACTGAAAATGACGTCGCAGTTGCTCAGGGTTCTGGTAACAATCAATCATGGCTCAGCCTCAGTAAACAAGTGAGCCGTGATTGGTCAACAAATTGAAACAGAAACTATATTTGTCTCAAATTTGAGTCTGCTGCTTGAATGTAAGCTAGTAATATGCAGTCAACTTTGGGATATTTGCTTAAGATGGGAAGTTGTGAAACTAACCCTTGAAATGTGTGTGTAATTTCTGACTCCTCTGACCGACTACTTTTTTCAATGGTACAAAATTGAGAACAGGACTTTGCAAAGTGGTCTTTATGCATGACAATGCACCATCTTATGCCGCAAAAAATTCCTTTTCATCATGGGCTGCTATCGGCAGAAAAGGAAAGAAACTTGTGGCCGCCATCCCCCCTAATGATCAACCTTACTGAGAACCTTTAGGCAAAGATCTATGAGGTTGGGAGGCAGTTCATATCCAAACAGCAGCTCTGGGAGGCTATTGTGACAGCCTGGAAAAATCAAGCAGAAGTTGCTTAAAAACTCACAAATTCAATGGATGTAGGACTTGCAAGTCTGCTACCAAATAATAGGTCCTGTGTTAAAATGTAACTTGAGCTGTTAAGATGTTTTTGATTTAAATAGCTTTTGATTTCAGTAAATACAACCCCCCAATGCTGCAAATTCAACAATATAATTGGGTTTTTCTTTAACCATCCTGTTAGGTTGCTTGCAGGTCAGATTGACCCATCTGGAAAATCTAGAAGAAAAATACAATAAACCTCCCTCGGTTTTTCATTTTTATTTTTATTCTTTTTAATATTAGAGAATTGCAATGCACTATGTGATGTTTTTCATTTTTATTTTTATTCTTTTTAATATTAGAGAATTGCAATGCACTATGTGATATTTTTGGATTTTTTATCGTTTAGAGCGGATTATATTGACTGATGAAAATTGTTGTTTAGAAACGAACATAGTAGGAGTGTTAAAAACAGTTACATTCTCTAACAGTTGATGACTGCAAAATTATGCTGAGTTCCATTTTCATAGACTATTTATAAAAATCTGAGAAAAACAGTTGCGTAATAATTGGAGAGTGGTGTACAAGTACTCTCTTCAAAATGGCTAATAATGCACAAGAAATGCATTTGATTTTTATGACTTATTTACAAATTGGGGCCATTCGTGTCTCCATCCTTAGACTGTGTAGAACTAGCGAAGTTATACCCAGTCGAGACAATTCTATCTTCCCCTCTCCTCCCAGGAGCTCGTCGCTTTGTGACGCTGGACTTTGGTCGACCCGTCCTGCTGACTGACGCCCTCATCCCGACCTGTAGCGACCTGGCCTCTCTGTCCATAGACATTTGGACCCTAGGTGAGGAGGTGGATGGCCGCAGGCTGGTGGTGGCCACCGACATCAGCACTCACTCCCTCATTCTACATGACTTGCTGCCTCCGCCCGTTTGCAGGTTTATGAAGGTTTGTTGCTTTCTATTTTTTGATTCATTTTAGCTTTCACAGAACTTGTTTTGAGGTGAGTGAAAATGTTTGCTGGAAGAACTTGTAGAATTGAATTTTCAGCATTTTCATATCATTGGGGCAGAAATGTTCCTGTTTAGAATAGTTTGTCACAACCATTGATTACTGTTGGATTTTGGTTTTGATGTTCTGGTGTTTTTTTTTTTGTTGTTTTTTTTTTTTTTTTTTTTTGCAAGACTGTCTCAGGGATGTTATATTTTTCCCCCTTCTACAATTTTCAGATAACCGTGATTGGCCGCTATGGCAGTACCAATGCTCGTGCAAAGATTCCTTTGGGCTTTTACTATGGTCATACTTATATTCTACCCTGGGAGAGTGAGCTTAAACTGATGCACGATCCTCTGCGGGGAGAAACTGAACCTGCCAGTCAGCCAGATGTGGATCAGCACCTGACCATGATGATGGCATTACAGGAAGATATCCAGTGCAGGTGAGACATGAAGTATCTAATGAAAATAAATATGGAAACTGCAATGATGCAAATAGGAATTTAGCCTTAGTGAGGCTTTGTGGTCGATCTAATCTTTTCCTTTAAATCACCCTCCCTTTTGTTGAAATGTCCTTGAGCAAGATACTCAACCCCCAGTTGTCCTCAGTCAGGGAATGAGGAAACTGTGTTAAAGTGCTTTGAGTACATAAGGTAGAACAGAGCTATACAAGGAAAAGCTCATTTACCATTGCACTGTGATTCATTCACAAATTTTTCAGATTCTTTATTGTATTTATCACTACACACACCAATAAGAAACTGGAACTGATTAATTGCACTCCCATTAATTTCAATGGCAAATCTTTGGTTCGCAAATGTTTCAGTTTGTGACCAGAGCCCTCGAAGGAAATACATTTATGAACTGAGGTTCCAATGTATGGGATGGAGTAAGAATTATATCAGACTTTGAATTTCATATGAATACACCTGAGAGAGTTTTTCCATCTCATTATAGGTACAATCTTGCGTGCCATCGGTTGGAAACCCTTCTACAGAATATCGACCTGCCACCCCTCAACAGCGCCAACAATGCCCAATACTTCTTACGTAAACCAGACAAGGTGGTAGAGGAGGACCAACGTGTTTTTTCAGCCTACCAAGATTGCATCCAGCTTCAGTTGCAGCTCAACCTGGCTCACCATGCTGTCCAGAGGTTACGAGTGTCACTTGGTGCCAGTCGAAAGTCCCTCCCCACAGCCAGGCCGAATGAGGCTCAAGATCTGGTCCACAACTCCTCTACAGAGCAGCTGAGAAATATCATCCATTACCTTCTGGACACCTTGCTTAGCCTGCTGCATTCTAACAATGGTGAGGAATGCTCTGTTTTGGATGCCAGGGTTACACTCTCCTCATTAATATTGACTATGTTTACATGCAGTCAATAACCCTTTCAAAACCTGAATATTGGCAATATTTGAGTTTTCAAAGGCCAAGTAAAGATCCAAAAAAAAAAAAAGGACTATGCTCATATTCGGTTTTTTGAAAAACAAGCCTAGGTTACTCCTTTTCTAACCATGTCATTTAAACACGTATCGGAATACCTCAATTGAAAGGGACATTGGTTTGTGTTCTGCGCATGCTCTATCCGCAAGGATTCTTGGTCTATGAGGTAGAGGAAGTGCTTATATGTACGGCAATGCCGCTTACATGCTGTAGCAAGTAGTGAAGCCGCCGGCGGACATTTCAAGTACATTGATTTCTCCGCAGGATATTAGATTAGGTGAGATTAGATCGTGATATTTCGAGACACTACATTGACATGGAGTCAATCCTTTCAAAGCCCAATATTGTCAGTATTCTGGTTTTGAAAGGCCACATAAACACACGCAAAAACCCTAATAAGGCCCTTGGCCTACCCATTTTCTCATCTGAATATTTGGTCATGTAAACGCGATTGGTTTGTGTTCTGCACATGATCTGCCCGAGGAATCTTGGTCTTTGGAGTACACAAAGTGTTTGTATGTGTGGCATCTCGCTTATTCGCCAGAGTGAGTCGATCTTGAATATACAGGTAAGTATTCAGTGATAATTTTACAGTTTGAGCTCTGCGAGTCCCAGGGACTCGCTGATCAGAAAAGTATGAGTCCCATTATGCATTTAGAGAGTCCCAAATTTCGAATTCTGAAATGGTCTACTTATTCAATTGCATATGATCATAACACAAACAACAACAATATACATTGATAATAGGTTTATTTCTTATAAACAAATGCTGAAAACGTGAATAATTCAGGCATACAAGATTTGCTGAGAAATAGGTTTTTATTTCATCCCATGGTTCAGTCTTTGAGTTCATAAATTCTCCTCTCTTTACTCTGCTTCCAATGATGCAAGGCTTTCTCAAAGTCAACTTATCATCGCAAAAAACTATCCAACTCTCGCTGCTTCCTCTGATATCTCCGCAATAAACTTTCGCAACACTTGTTCGCAACACCTGTTTTAACGTTACATAACTTGGCGATCGTCTGCTTCTCGCGAGGTGAAGGCCGATCTCGCCAATCTCGCCTCGCGAGAATGGAAATCTCGTCACGCGAGATTACTTAACGCGAGATCAAAACAACAATGGCGGCGATGGTCAAACTGCGATCGTTGCTGGAAAAAAAAGATTTACCGTAGTTTTTTTTTTTTTTTTTTGACTGAGAAATTTCCTGAGCAGTTTTTTTCAAATTTTCTGGTTGAATTAGCAGTTTGTTATTGTGCAAGTGGCATTTTGTGACATTTCTAAGGGCAAGGGAAACCCAGCTATGGATTTGCATACTTCCTTTATCTTGCTTTTTTTTTTTTTTTTTTTTACACATCTGTATATTCAGGACACTCGCGTGAATAATTCAGGCATACAAGATTTGCTGAGAAATAGGTTTTTATTTCATCCCATGGTTCAGTCTTTGAGTTCATAAATTCTCCTCTCTTTACTCTGCTTCCAATGATGCAAGGCTTTCTCAAAGTCAACTTATCATCGCAAAAAACTATCCAACTCTCGCTGCTTCCTCTGATATCTCCGCAATAAACTTTCGCAACACTTGTTCGCAACACCTGTTTTAACGTTACATAACTTGGCGATCGTCTGCTTCTCGCGAGGTGAAGGCCGATCTCGCCAATCTCGCCTCGCGAGAATGGAAATCTCGTCACGCGAGATTACTTAACGCGAGATCAAAACAACAATGGCGGCGATGGTCAAACTGCGATCGTTGCTGGGAAAAAAAGATTTACCGTAGTTTTTTTTTTTTTTTTTTGACTGAGAAATTTCCTGAGCAGTTTTTTTCAAATTTTCTGGTTGAATTAGCAGTTTGTTATTGTGCAAGTGGCATTTTGTGACATTTCTAAGGGCAAGGGAAACCCAGCTATGGATTTGCATACTTCCTTTATCTTGCTTTTTTTTTTTTTTTTTTTTTACACATCTGTATATTCAGGACACTCGGTGCCATCAGTGCTCCAGAGTACCTTCCACGCACAGGCCTGCGAGGAGCTCTTCAAACACCTTTGCCTCAGTGGGACACCGAAAATCCGTCTTCATGCTGGCCTGCTTTTGGTACAGCTGTGTGGAGGTGAACGCTGGTGGGGACAGTTCCTTTCTAACGTCTTGCAGGAGCTGTACAACTCCGAACAGCTGCTCATTTTCCCCCAGGACAGGTAAAGTGCCCTTTACCACATTACAAAAAGGTGCCACATATTTTTAATATATTTAGAATGATTAAAGAAAGTGATCGCATGTAATAACATGCAATATGGTATATAGTAGGGGGGAGTACATCTCTCCAATAAAAGCCAATTTGATAATGTATCTCGATACAGTGACTGACACGATTCAACTACGGTAGTGGAAAGATTCAATATAGTACAGCTCAGTTCAAGAGGGTAGGATGCAATGAATTTATTGTAATTTTACAATACAAATGAACCTTTCAGTCCCGTAATTGTAGCAATTCCTTCAAAGACATTTATGAAAGACCAGTGAACAAATGTATGTGTTGCTTTTGGCTTGTTTATTGAATGAATGAATCCTTTATTGTCATTGCACACTTGTTACAACGAGATTTTGCAGGACCCTCCACCCCCTAAGTGTATCATGAAATATATAAATACATTGCACTCCTGAGACATCCACACAATCACATACACACGTTTAAAAATTGACATGTAACATCAAAAATCTCTCCAACACATAAACCATTCAGATTGATTAAAATCAAAGAAACAGCAAATCATCAGAAACATCCAACCTGGTTACACCGACTCACAACATTTTGATGGAGCCATTGTCTGGTACGAGCAATCTTGAGACAGATTCGCTAGTTTGTATCGATGCACTCACATCTTTCCAATCAAAACCGATATAATGATGCAAATTGGTTTGCATGACACCCAGAGTATATACCTTGTTTATAACTTAGTAAAACAAATGTGACAAACAAAATGTACATCTTATAATTGAAAACTGAATATCATATTATTTGAGCAGCTGCATTTCTTGTCACCTTGCAAACAGTCTTGTTTTAATCATAACTTTTCTGAATCTTTTTATCACAGAGTGTTTATGCTCCTCTCCTGCCTTGGCCAAAGATCCCTGAGCAACAGTGGCGTTTTAGAGGGTCTACTGAACCTCCTGGACAGCCTGCTGTCTCCTCTGCAGCAACCACAAGCTGCTCTACAGCATAGGACTGAAGGTAGTGGTACAGAATGACACAGGGCTTAGCAAGGATCATCTGTTGATTTGCATAAACAAACATAAGAAATAATGACTTTTAATCAATCTGACTGTTTTGTGTTCTCCAGGTGTTTTGGATATCCCGATGATCAGCTGGGTGGTGATGCTTGTTTCCAGACTATTGGACTATGTCACAAGTATAGAAGATGAAGCTTCAGGTGGGAAGAAACACCTTGGAGGGAAAGAGAGGGAGAGAACGTTTACAGGTACTTGAGCACTTTGATTTCATACTTGAGTGATTCCACAAGTCACAAGTGTCAGTAGAGCCGAAGCACCTTGACGGACGGCGGCTTTGAAATAGCGACGGGTTACACGTAGTCTTACTGGGCGACGTTTCACTCAGTATTTCCTACTTGCTCCATTGTCCCGACAGCAGAAACAGAAAATATGTGAATTAGAAAAACCCTCATTAGGAATTCAGCTCTCTGAAAATACCATGTTTGTGCACAGAGCAGAGCTCCCGACTTTTCATGGTGCTTTTAGCTAGTGCTATGCTCCTGGGCTAGTCAACCTGACTGTGGCGGGGCCAAGGGTGTTGCCATGGCCTTTGGCTTCTCTCCAACCCATCAGCAGCTCATTAGTCAACCAGCTGCATTCCATCATCTTGATTTGCTTTGCAATGAAAGTAACTGAGATATCAACATCCAAGTGAGATCCTAAATTTGTGTTATGACGTTTGCGACTGAGTCGTTCTTTTGAACGGCTCTTTTGCGGTGAACAATGACAATCGATTTGCAGCTGGGAGAGAGATGGTCATGTTTAAAAAAAAAAAAAATATTCATAATAAAATTCCCCAGCCAATACTGTATAGTATTTGCTAACATTAAGGCAATCTGTTTAAATGTACAAAATATAAGCTACAATTGTAGAAACTAAAATTTCTCCAAAGCTTGGGAGTTGAATCTATTTGTACATGTTGTGATAAATTGATTCATACTACAACAGATGAAAAAAATCTTGGAAAATAATTTCAAGAAAAGAGTGGAAGCCCTGACTTAAGATAATTTTTTTTTTCAGGTATTCAGTGGAGCTTTATCAACAACAGCCTTCAGTCTCAGAACACCAGCCGATCAGCTAAAGGCAGCAGTAGCCTCGACAGACTTTACTCCCGCAAGATTCGGAAGCAACTTGTCCATCACAAGCAGGTACACGTATCTCATTGTTTCACCACTTATCCTACAGAGTTTGTTTTGTAAATTACAAATTGTGAATTAGTAACATAATTTACCTCTCCAAACAGCCCTTCTTTCTCTTACACACGTAAATTAAAGTTAACTGCTTAACCCTCTTATTCAAGAGTCATTATTTATTGAAAAATATTCATCAAAATATTTTTATTGCATTGGAACAAATGCATTATTGTGGGTTTTCAGGAGGGGAATATTTTTCAGGGCTGATATTCATTGTGCCCCTTTACTTCTAGCAGTTAAATCTATTGAAAGCAAAACAAAAAGCTTTAGTCGAGCAAATTGAGAAGGAGAAAATCCAAAGCAACAAGGGCTCCTCCTACAAACTCTTAGTGGAGCAGGCCAAGCTCAAGCAAGCCACATCCAAGGTAGGTTCTGCTTTTATATTCTAGATTATCCTCTTTTGAAAGACTTTAAATAAAAGGTAGAAAGATGATTTTGCGATGTCATAGTTTTCCTGATATTTTTTAAATACAGATTGTTGATTTTGATTTGAATGGGGATTGCTTTTAGAAAATTCTGTTATCGCCTACAAAACCTATATTTATGTCCAAACTCTCTGGCTTTCCCAGCACTTTAAAGACTTAATCCGTCTTCGGCGGACAGCTGAATGGCCGCGCTCCACGTTAGACACAGAGTCTGCAACAGCCAAAGAAGCACCAGAAGTTGAGCCCCTGCCCTTTACATTGTCGCATGAGCGCTGCATCTCAGTGGTGCAGAAGCTAGCCCTTTTCCTCCTCTCTATGGACTTCACCTGTCATGCTGACCTGCTACTTTTTGTCTGCAAGGTAGTGTCTTAAATTTGAGAGGATTCATTCAAGATTCATTTTTTGTTAATTAACACAAATCATATCATTATGTGCATGGTTTAATGAATAAAAATAAAACGATTTGAAGAAGATCATTAGGTTGATTTACTCACTTTGTAATTCCCAAATCCTCTTAATGAATACACTTATCACCTCTTCAGGTCCTGGCTAGGATAGCAAATGCCACCAGACCGACAATTCACCTCTCTGAGGTGGTGTCTGAGAACCAGTTAGAGCGCCTACTCCTTCTGCTCGTGGGGACGGACTTCAATCGAGGGGATATCTCCTGGGGAGGTGCCTGGGCTCAGTATTCCCTCACCTGTATGTTACAAGACATCCTGGCAGGTATGCTTCAGAGCATTACGAGTGTACTACGCCATGTTTGACATTGCGGAAACAGAAATATACTCGTTGGGCTCTGTGCATGACATTGGCAGGTACACATATGATAGTGTGTAGTGACGCCACTCGAGCAAAGCGCGACTCAGCAGTCGATAGTCCGCTGCTCTCTGTTGTGCATGCGTCAGCGCGAACATGTACGCACGCACACGTCTCTTGGCTTCAACCAATCAGCGTCGACGCAACGGACGTTACACATCAACGAGCTTTGATCTACGACACCAGCAAAGTTAGCCTAGCCGAGACAACAGCTAAGCCAGTACAGCACACGCGACGCTCGAGGTCGGACGGACACGCTCTCATTGGTAATGTGTGGTTTTCCTTTTTTCTCTGTTCAAATACAGTCAAACCTCGGTTTTCGACTAAAAATTTCGAGTTTTTTTTATGCCTCGGATTATGACCGAAAATCAGTTGTCTACCAAACTAAGCAAACCTGAATACGTCACTCGACTCTCCTCGGCTTCCTTACACGAGGAAGTGACGCTTCCTCGGGTAGACGAAGAAGTGACGCCTCCATTGTGAGCAGATGTGTTCAATGAAGATTTAAAAAAAAAAAAAAAGACCGTCCATTGTGAGTAGACGTCTTCAATAACGATTTTAAAAAAAGAGCATCCATTGTGAGCAGACGTGTTCAATAAAGTTTTTAATTTTAAAAAGTGTCCATTGTGAGCAGGCGTGTTCAATAGATTAAAAAAAAAAAAAAAGAGACGTGTTTGTTGAGATCTACGCAAATTGGACTGTTATTTCTGCATGGCACCAAAGAAAGCAAGTGGAAGTAGTAAAGCTGGTGAAAAAGGAGGAAAATAGTGTGCAAAACTGTTGAATGTAAGAAAGATTTGATAGTGAAATATGAATCAGGTGTGCATGTGTCTGTGTTGGCTAAGGAGTTCCGCATGCCGATATCAGCAGCATCCTAAAAAAGAAAGGCCATCTTAAAGTCAGTGATGTGGCTAAAGTATCTCGTGTGCTTAGCAAACAAAGGGCACAAATATTAGAGGAAGTGGAGAAACTTTTGCTTATTTTCATAAATGAGAAACAACTAGCGGGGACAGTCTTAGCCAAGATACGATCTGTGGCAAACCAAGACAATTGGAATGGAGATTTGATAAAAAAGGATCCTAGCATTGCTCCTGAAGAGTTTGATTTTAAAGCAAGCAGAGGATGGTTCGAAAAGTTGAGGAAAAGAAGTGATATGTCATGGGGAGGCAGCCAGTTCAGACAAGGACGCTGCTGAAAAGTTAAAAGCTGAATTTGAAAATCTCATCAAGACTGAGGAATATCTTCCCCAGAAAACTTTTAATATGGACAAGACTGGACTTTTGTGGACATAAAGTGGTTCAGAAAATGGATGGAGGGATGTTACCTCGTACCGTAGCATAGGATTGCAGAGAGAGCGTCCATAGTTACAGCCATTACTTTAGGGTTTAAAATTCAAGGTGTAAAAGAATGCAATCTAGAAGTGTCACGATGGGAGAGAGAGAGAGAAGTTACTTCAATTTTTATGTTACAATGTCAATGTTTTTGTTGAAATTGGTAAAAATAAAACATACAAATTGTTTGTAGTATTTTATATACTACCTGCTCTCTTATTACACGTGTATACAATTTATGGTGTAAAATAGTTTAAAAAATGCTTTTAAAAAAGTTTTCAAGATTTGGAACGGATTAAACATTTTTACATTGATTATAGCGGGGAACATGGTTTCGCTTTTCGAACAGCCTTCTGGAACGGATTATGGTCAAAAACCGAGGTTTACTGTATATATTTTTCTACTACAATAATAGTCTCGTCCACGGTGTCTTTTTTCGGTCCACTGGGGTTTAGCAAGTGTGATTATAAAGAGACGAAAATCTCTTTGTTGGCGAGCCAGGCCTTTTGTGGCGAGCCAGCCCTTTTTCCCAACCACGGACACTCTCCCTGGTATTTTTCCCTCCTCACTTGGCTACCCCTTTGGATTTATTCGCCCACTTCACTCCCCTCCATCTGCGACATGGACACCTTCCAGCAGCTCCTTGTGACGCAACGCCTCATGCAGGACAAGATCAGGGCGTTACGAGCCGAAATCCAGAGCCGTAGCAAGGACCGAAGCCACAGCCGTGGACACAGCATGAGTCACGGACATGGCGGCAGCCGGGATCGCTCCCCCTCCCAGGGCGGGAAACGGACCTGCCAGGAAGTGAGTACGTCACTCAACTCTCCTGGCATCTGTGCCGCGAGCGGCATCCTCCACGTCTTTGATCGGACTTCTGGGCGACGCTTCATGGTCGACTCCGCTGCCGATGTCAGCGTCGTCCCTCCCTCCCCCGCAGAGCGCCATCACCCTACCAGCGGCTCCTCCCTCCAAGCAGCCAACCGCATCACTATCAAGACATACGGCCAATGCTTCCTCAAACTTAATCTGGGCTTGCGCTGCTGCTTCCACTTTGTTTTCACCATCGCAGATGTCCGCCGTCCCATCATTGGTGCCGATTTCCTGCACGAATTTGACTTGTCACTCAGCGTTCGCAGGAAGGTGCTGGTCGACGACAAGACCAGCTTTACGGCACGTGGAACCACCTCTGACCATTTTCTCCAGCGTCTGTCCCATTACCCTGCCCCCTCCTCGTCTCCCGACCCTGTTGCGGCGTTTCCCTAATCGACAAACCCTGCGCAGACGACTGAGCCAGTGCCTCCCAATATCGTTCATCACATCAAGACGACTGGTCCCGCCAAGTTCCAGCGTTTTCAACGACTGGCCCCAGCGAAGCAACGGATCTCTGAATTCTCCGAATTTGATTACATGCTTCAGCTCGGTATCATCCGTCCTTGGAGCAGCAAATGGGCCTCCCCGCTACACATGGTTCCCAAAGCGAAGCCCGACCGTTGGTCTCCGACTCCCTTCGACACAAGGTCTTCGATTCCCTGCACGAACTCTCTCACCCAGGAATTCGCGGCACGACGAAGCTGATCGCGAAACGTTTCTCCTAGAAGGGTCTGCAGAAAGATGTCCGAGACTGGGTCCGCAGCTGCATCCGGTGCCAATGTTCCAAGGTACACCGGCACACGAAGTCGCCCGTCGGCACCTTCGACACGCCTGATTCTTCAGTCATGTCCACATTGGACCCTTCCACCGTCCCATGGTTGCCGCTATCCTGACCTGCGTTGATCGCTTCACCTGATGGTGTGAGGTGATCCCTCTTCCTGACAACAGTACCGAGTCAGTCGTGCTGGCCTTCCTCCAACACTGGGTCGCTCGCTTTGGTTCACCGGGAACCATCACCACTGATCATGGAGCTTAGTTCGAGTTGAGCCTCTTCCGCCACCTCTGCACCTTCCTCAGGTGCGAACGACGTCGGACTACCGCCTACCACCCTGCTGCCAATGGAATGGTCGAGCACCTTCATCGCCAACTGAAGGCCTCCCTGATGTCCTCCGACAACGCTGAGCACTGGGTTGACAACCTGCCACTCGTCCTGCTTGGTATTCGCTCTATGCTAAAGCCAGACATCGACTCGTGTCCGGCGGAGCTTGTATACGGCGCGACGCTGAGACTGCATGGTGAGTTGTTCAACATGACCGAACCAGCGACAGGTGCCGTCAACGACCTGCGCAAACCCAGCAGCCCAAGCCGCCACGAAAGTCCAACCTGTCAGCGCAAGTTGATCCCGACCTTCGGACCTGCACTCACGTCTTCCTCCGCTGTGATCGAGTGCGGAAATCCCTCGAACCGCCTTACTACGGTCCCTTCCCTGTCATTGCCCGAGGGGAGAAAACATTCAAACTCCGAATAAACGGCCGTGAGGACACCATCTCCATCGGCCGACTCAAGCCGGCAGTCGTAGAGCAGCAGTCTCTTTGCTCACGAACAGCGACTTTCGCCAACAACACCGTTGTGAGTCCGTCCTCGCCCGCAATTCCCTCATCAACAGCAGCTATTCCATTCCCGGTTCCGTCAACCTCAACCGCAGCCCTTCCTGTTCCCATCTCGACCACGACATCATCCACGGCTGTTCGCCCTCCGATGTCCCGCTCGCCCTGCAGTCCGCCACTGAAATCGTGTCTGGCATCTTCTTCAAGCCAAACCACCCGCAGCGGCCGATGAGTCTGCTTCCCCAAACGCTTCGTCTCCTATCAGCGATTGTAGACGTTCCATCATTCCAACGTCTTCCTTCCTTCGTTGCCTTCGCAGACTTCGGATTCAGTGGGGGGGCCCTGTAGCGACGCCACTCGAGCGAAGCGCGACTCGGCAGTGTATAGTCCGCTGCTCTTTGATGTGCGTGCGTCAGCGCAAACCTGTACGCAAGCGCGCGTCTTAGCTTCAACCAATCAGCGTCGACGCAGCGGACGTTACACATCAAAGAGCTTTGATCTACGACACGACGCCACTCGAGCGAAGCGCGACTCAGCAGTCAATAGTCCGCTTCTCTCTGCTGTGCGTGCGTCAGCGCGAACATGTATGCATGCGCGCATCTCTTGGCTTCAACCAATCAGCGTCGATGCAACGGATGTTACACATCAAAGAGCTTTGATCTACGACACCAGCTAAACTAGCCTAGCTGAGACAACAGCTAAGCCAGTACAGCAGACACGACGCTCGAGGTCGGACGGACACGCTCTCATTGGTAATATGTGTGGTTTTCCTTTTATCTCTGTCCAAATATATATTTTTCTACTACAATAGTAGTCTCGTCCACGGCGTCTTTTTTCGGTCCACTGGGGTTTAGCAAGTGTGATTCTAAAGAGACGAAAATCTCTTTTAAGCCTACCGTCCATGTGACAATGGGCAATTGGAGTCTGCCTTGCCCCCCGATCATATGTCTGTGTGTGACCCTCAGCACCTCCACAGTAGTCCCAGGGGTGCGATTATTTATTTATTTTTTATTTAAAGATGATGTAATTTATTTCTACAATGTTTCTGCCATTCTACCAAAATACGGCCCTTTGTGCGCATGCACACACAAACAGATGTGGCAGAGGGGATATTGAAACAAAAAAAGAATAAACATGACTTTTGTTGTGATCACTGAATGTTGCTTACAAATTGCCAGGATAATAGAATACGTGACGAAATAAGGCACTGTGTGAGAGAGTTCATGCACAACAATGTTCATGTAAGAGATTCTTGGAGGAGTCTTTTTTTTTTTTTTTTTTTTTATGTCCTTGCAACACACTGCCTGTAAGAAAAAACAGATCGGAAACACATGGTCATCCGGAATAATAATGAACATTATTTCAGGTGAACTGCTGTCTCCTGGTTCTATGGATGTCATGGATGAAGTGACTGTTGTTGAGGAGGCCGGGGCTTCGTCCTCATCAGTTGGGGTTGATCAAGATGACCCCTTGCCTCAGCCTACGCCGATCCCCTTGGTAGAGAGCATTGATGAGACCCTCGTGCCTGATATCATTGCAGGTGCTACCTGGACCCTCACATTGTGTGGGATGGCCCATCAATTACCAACATTTCACATACTACCAGTAATGCTTGAGATGTGGGCATATAAATAATCAAACATTGAGTTTAATTTATTTTTTCTTCTATCAAGACCGTAAAACTATTTTATCACTTAGTATTCAAATGATAAATCACTTTGCTGAGTAGTGTTGTGTTAAAAGCTGCTTTCATTATCCAAAGGTGCTCCACCTGTGTCGTCTTTGGAAAAAGAAAAAGACATGGACTTTGACTTGTTACAAGACCTGATGGATGTTGATATTGATCCTTTAGATATTGACTTGGAAAAAGATCCGCTTGCTGCAAAAGTGTTTAAGGTATGTTTTTTTCTGAAACTTGTTCCGTTTCATGTTTTCTCTTATTCCCCTCCCTAAACAATGTTTTATGTTAACATTCAACATGTGTCTTTCTGTGTAAACATTTGAAAATAAATCTTACCACCCAAAAGGCAAATAACCCACACGAATAGAATAGAACTTTGTCACTCTCAGAGAAGCAATGAAAATCCATCCATCCACCCATCCATTTTTGAGGGTCACGGGCACCCTGAAGTGGTTGCCAGCCAATCGCAAGGCACACATAGACAAGCAAACATTTGCTCTCACAATCAGACCTAGGGACAATTTAGTGTTCCATTAACCTGCCATGCAGGTTTTTTGGAATGTGGGAGAAAGTCGGAGTACCAAGAGAAATCCCACGCAAGCATGGGGAAGATGCTAACTCCACACAGGAAGGCCGGAACCGAATTCGAACACTGCACTGCTGCACTGTGAGGCGGACAAATGAACCAGTTTCCACCTTGCAATGAAAATCACTAAATGAAAAATATGCTTCAGACATTCAACAGAACTTGGAATTCTAGCTATTGTACATGACATTCCAGAAGTGTCAGCAAATGTAAAAAAAAGTTGTTAGACCTCTGTTCAGTGAGCAATAATAGATCATAATGCATGAATGATGTATTTTTGTTTGTTCTTTCATTGTTTTGTGATACCACTACAGAAGGCAACCAAACATTTCTTAGAGGCATTGTGATAACCACACACCAGGAATTTGAACTTTTCCTTGACATGACAAAGATGTCCTGTTGCTCTTTTCAACGGAGGCAACATACTCATAAATTATCAGTGAATTGGTTCCCTGCAAATACTTAACATTCGCTAAGAGCTCCTTTTTTTCCTTTTTATCCTTGTGTGTCTCATCCTTTTCCTATTTGTCTTTTTGCAGCCAATAAGCAGCACGTGGTATGACTACTGGGGTTCTGATTATGGCACGTATGGTTACACGCCATACATTGGAGGGGTTGGCATTCCAGTGTCCAAACCACCAGTTGCTGTTGAGAAGCCGGGGTCACAAGGGCTCTCGGTCTCAGTTTCACAAGGTGAGGATTTTTTTTTTCTTCTGTTAATGTTTGTGTTTTTGATATCTTGGCATCAGTTATTTTGACCCACTCTGCCTGTTTGTCTTCAGCACTGGATGCTCGATTAGAGGTGGGCTTGGAGCAGCAGGCTGAACTGATGCTAAAAATGATGGCAACTTTACAGGCCGACTCGATTCTTCAGGCTCTAACATCAAGCTCCTCCACAGGTAAGCAGAGTGACAAATTAAGAGCAGTGTGGCAAATACACAACGAGAGTGCTCATAGAACATGACTCCTTACTTTAAGGCATAAAATTATATGCAAACTGAAAAATTCCAGCTCCGGCCTCCCTGTGTGGAGTTTGCATGTTGTCCCCGGGCCTGCGTGGGTTTTCTCCGGGTGCTCCGGTTTCCTCCCACATTCCAAAAACATGCATGGCAGGCTGATTGAGCACTCCGAATTGTCCCTACGTGTGAGTGTGAGCACGAATGGTTGTTCGTTTCTGTGTGGCCTGCGATTGACTGGCAACCGGTTCAGGGTGTCCCCCGCCGACTGCCCGTAGACAGCTGGGATAGGCTCCAGCACCCCCCGCGACCCTAGTGAGGATAAAACGGTTTGGAAAATTAATGAATGAATGAATAAATTAAGGCTAGTCCAGAAATAATCCTTTGTTGCTTAATGCGCTGAAGTCTTGTGACATTGGCTGAACTGTTGCATAATATACTGACATCTCATGTGATGTTCTGCATAATTGCAGTTCAACCTCATAAATTTGGCACAACTTTCAAGCTCCCACTTCCCCACCTCTAAAATTGTGCTAAGCTTCCCGATTGTGTGACTTCTACTTCAATGATTCCTCCCTAAACTATATGACCAAACCACAGCAATAAAAGCTTGATCCACAGTACCAGCAATAATCTGGAGTCCAGCTCTGACATGCTTCTCGCAGGCGGAGTTTGGCTGTCTGTATTCATGTAAGATTTACAAGAATGAATACTTTATGTTTTCCAGTTTGCCAGACTACCAACGGCACAGATGACTCTCTGTTGAGGGCTCTCCATGGAGGAGGCTCTCCTCCTGGCAGCACCCTGCTAGTCCAACCATCTTCAATTCCGATGCTGAGTGCTTGCTTCAACAAGCTTTTCTCCATGCTGCAAGTCCACCATGTACAGGTCCGCACACTTTTTTTTGACTCAGTAAAACGACATGTTACCTACTACACAAATGGGAAAAAAAAAATCAAAAAAATGACATGTTACCTACTACACGCATGGAGAAAAAAAAATCACATATATGCAGGGATGTCTCCTCCCCTACAACAAATGTCTGTTGTAACTCACCTGAGAGAGTAAAACATTGGGGGTACAAACTCTTGATATTTTTTATTGTGCTAAATCATGCATGAGACGTGTACACAACACAACCACTTCCTTCTCCGTTTGAGTCTGGCAACTGTGTGAGCTTCAACCTTGCTGACTTGAAAGGGGGAATATATTTCCTGAAGTTTTTTTTTTTTTTTTTTTTTTTGCCTAATTATCAATATGTGTGGACCACACGTTAATTTGGGAGCCACAACCTCACATAGATCCAGATACCAAAACACAAAAGGTCACAAACCTATTTTCAATTTAATCAAGTTGACTATTTTCACAGGATATTGTCATTTAATCTTAACATTTCTGCTATCAGTTGGAGTCATTGCTGCAGTTGTGGATAACACTGAGTCTCAACACAAGCGGTAATGAAGAGAACGGATCAGATATCTTCTTATTTAACTCTAGTCGAGTACCCACCATTCCACTGAATCAAGGTCAGGACTTCTCTCCGTCACCATTTTGTATAACCTGTGATTTTCAGCACTTCTAGGAAAGCTGGTTGCATAGTAATTTAGTGAAATATGCATACATATGTTTGTTTCTGTATGTCTAGCATCAATTAGCAGTTTTCTCACTGTGCTGGCATGGTACCCCAACGCCTCCCTGAGAACTTGGTGTCTGGTGCTGCATTCACTTACCCTGATGACTAACATGCCTTACCACGGTCAGTATTTTCCACTTATCTTGTTGAGCAAAGTTATGCAGAGTCACATCAGTTGATCAAATTGTCACCTCTAGATCCTGACTGTTTTTATACATACAGTACATTATTTTTACGAAATACGAGTCTCGTGAGGATAATATTCTTAATTTTTGTCTCAACTGTGACTGTACAAACAAATTGCTGCAGAGCTGTCGATGAGTCCAGTTGTGATCAGCTCTCATTCCAGCTAAACAAGAGTAATTTTGCTTAGCTGGAGGGTAAGCTGTGGAGAAAGAAACGTGCTAGGAAAAAAAGTGCAATTTTATAATCTGCATTTTTCTTTTAATCAGTGTAAAAATGTAACTCACCAGGTTTTTTTCTCAATTGTTCCCCACTGTAATCATCAAGTGGTTATTAAAGCACAATTACTGGAGAGATGATGTGTGAATGCAAATTAGAACAATCTTAAGTACAGAACAAACCTCCACCAAGGGTGTTCACAAAGGTGACAAAAAGAAGAATCTTGGTGAGCTATATTTTTTGGGCCACTCACATTACAGCAAGAAGTAAATTCAGCGGCAGGCTGTACTCCCTGATTCAGTTCATATGACAGAAAGTATTAGGATTAGATGAAGGGGCACCGTGCTTGGGCCAGGAAAACGGTGGCATTGTGACTCAGTAACGGCAAACGCAATCCGCTGCATCTGCATAGAATGGAAGGAATAATACAATAGCCTGAATGCTTATACTGAAAACACGTCTAAAATTTCAGGCTCCGGTAATGGGATGAACACTCAAGAAAGCACAGCACATCAGATGGTGTCCGATCCAACGCTGGTTCATGTCCTGGTGCGTTTCCTTTCTGGCAGCAACACCAATGGGACTAATCAGCATAGCTCTCAAGTTGGACCCACTGCCACTCAAGCTATGCATGAGTTTTTGAGTCGCTTGCAGGTGCATCTTTCTTCCACTTGTCCACAAATGTTCAGCGAGTTCCTACTCAAACTCTTGCACATCTTGTCAACTGAAAGGTATTTGTTCATTTCTCAAGGGATGTTTTGCATAGCGAAATTGCTGTCGTTTTGGGGAATTTACGTGCCATCTTGAACTTTCAGGGGTCCGTTCCAGTCAGGTCAGGGTCCACTTGATGCACAGGTGAAGCTGTTGGAGTTTACTTTAGAGCAAAACTTTGAAGTGGTGTCTGTGGTCACCATCTCCTCTGTCATCGAGTCAATCACATTCCTTGTTCACCATTACATCACCTGCTCGGACAAAGTTGTCTCACGCAGTGGCTCTGACAGTTCTGTGGGTGCTCGTGCTTGTTTCGGTGGCCTTTTTGCCAACATCATTCGACCAGGAGATGCAAAGGCTGTCTGTGGTGAAACTACCCGTGACCAGCTGATGTTTGATCTCCTTAAACTGGTTAATGTGCTGGTGCAACTGCCTCTCTCCGGAGACAGAGAGTTCAGTGGTCGGCTGCCAATGTCCGGCAGTGGGGCTTCTGATAGCAGTGTGTCAGATGAAGAGAAGGTTTGCGGAAGCAAAGAAAGTGTGGCTGGCGGATCGACATCCAGTCAGGGTCCGTCTGCTGGTGTGGCTGATCTGGTACTGGCTAATCAGCAGATAATGAGTCAGATCTTGTCTGCGCTGGGCCAGTGCAACAGCAGTGCCATGGCCATGATCATCGGTAAGATGTACCAAAATTTTTCTTTTACAGTAATATGGCTTATTCTCCGCTGATCTGACAGTCCTCTTTGGTCTTCAGGAGCCAGTGGTCTTCATCTAACCAAACATGAAAACTTCCACGGGGGTCTGGATGCAATTTCAGTAGGTGATGGCCTCTTCACCATCCTCACCACGCTCAGCAAGAGGGCCACTTCTGTTCAGGTCATGTTGCAGCCCATCCTCACATACATGGCCTGTGGATACATGGGTCGACAGGTGAGCAAAGCACTGCCATGTTTGGCGGAGTTTATAGTCGATCAATTTTTTTGGGGGGCAAAATCTATATATTGCCTGTTTTTTAGGGGTCTCTTTCCACTTGTCAGCTGTCTGAACCTCTTTTGTGGTTCATTCTGCGAGTGCTGGATACCAGTGAGGCTCTCAAAGCTTTCCATGATATGGGTAGGGAGTCACAGATCAATATCTGTATTGACTGAACTTAATTTATTTTTCATGTCTACCTTCTAATCATCATCAATCACTCCAAGTTGTAACCATACAAGATCATATAACTTCCTTGTCCCTATGTAGGTGGTGTCCAGTTAATTTGTAACAACATGGTGACCAGCACCAGAGCCATAGTGAACACTGCACGCAGCATGGTGTCTACCATTATGAAGTTTTTAGACTCGGGTCCAGGAAAGACTTCAGATGGCAACCTCAAATCCCGAGTGATGACGTCAGAGCCAGATAATGCAGAAGGACTCCACAACTTTGCCCCATTAGGTTCTTGAAAGAGTTCTGCAAAACATATTTTCTTGCAATTTCATGTCATCAATTTGAAATGACCTGTCTTTTCCCAGGTACAATTACTTCCAGTAGCCCAACAGCGCAGCCAGCAGAAGTCCTCCTTCAAGCTACGCCACCTCACCGTCGGGCTCGTTCTGCAGCCTGGTCCTACATCTTCCTTCCAGAAGAGGCTTGGTGTGACCTCACCATTCATCTCCCTGCTGCTGTGTTGCTAAAGGAGCTCCACATTCAGCCACATCTGGCTTCTTTAGCTAGTAAGTAGTGCCGTACACAGCCATTACAGTTTCAGTATTTTCTCAAAATTATCCGGCCTCCTTTGCAGTTGCATTTATTAGACCTACAGTGGTCACTGAACTGGCAAAATGATCATTTAAATAGTGTGGCATGAAACTATTTCTAACAGCCTTTTTTTTAAGTGGTCATCTTTTGAATGTGTATCAACGATGTAGTCTCCAACCACCAGTCCGCTTGGTTCAGGTATACAGAAAGACGTAAAAAAAAAAAAAAAAAACCCCAAAAAATGCTTTTGTTAGCGGCCATTTTATTTGGAAATGGTTTTGACGAACTACTATGATAACGTACAGATCTGTTAAGTCCTTCGAGGTACGTTGTTCGATTGTACTGATAAGTCTTACAACCTTATAGAACTAAAACAAATCAGTTGATGTTCAACATACACCAAAATTTGCTCAAGACAGCACAAGAGAAGAAGGTATATATAACCTTAGCGAAAAAAATAATCAAAGAAAAAACTGCAAAGTTGTGCCGGTCTGGGAAAATCATGGATTTGCATGAACTGAGGCAGCCCGGTGGTCCACTGGAGTGGACTTTCCTGTGTGGAGTTTGCATGTTCTCCCCCTTGCCTGCGTGGGTTTTCTACAGGGACTTTGGGTTTCCTCCCACATTCCAAAAACACGCGTTTCAGGTTAATGGAACACTCTTAATTGTCACTAGGTGTGAGTGTGAGCGCGAATGGTTGTTCGTCTATGTGTGCCCTGTGATTGGCTGGCAACCGGTTCAGGGTGTACCCTGCCTACTGCCCGAAGACAGCTGGCCCCTGCACGCCCCGTAACCCTTGTGAAGATAAGCGGATTACAAAATGGATGGATGTATTAACTGATCCGTGGTGGAGCCACTGATGTCGTGAATAATTTGGACTGTAAATTTATGTACAGATTAAAAATGTTCTGCACTTGAGTTTTTTTGTTTGTTTGTTTTTTAAAATAACAAAAGCACCATGTAATTATTTAACTGTTGTATTTTCTTCTTTCCAATTAGCCTGCCCCTCCTCTGTCTCCGTGGAGATCAGTGCTGATGGTGTAAACATGCTGCCACTCTCCACGCCAGTTATCACCAGTGGCCTGACCTACATCAAGATCCAACTGGTGAAGGCTGAAGTTGCCTCAGCTGTGTGTCTAAGGTTGCACCGGCCTCGTGATGCCAGTACACTTGGCCTGTCTCAGATCAAACTCTTGGGCCTGACAGCCTTTGGTAACACCTCATCTGCTACAGTCAACAACCCCTTCTTACCCTCTGAGGACCAGGTCTCGAAAACCAGGTCCAAAATCTATTCTCATCAACTGACAAACAAGTTTATTTTTTGTCACATATACCTGGTGGTGACCCTTTTGTTCTTTGTATACAGTATTGGTTGGCTGCGTCTTCTTCACCACTGCCTGACCCATGTCAGTGATCTGGAGGCCATGATGGCCAGTGCAGCAGCACCTACTGCTAACCTTCTGCAGACTTGCGCTGCACTGCTCATGTCACCTTACTGTGGTATGCACTCACCGAACATTGAAGCGGTTTTAGTGAAGATTGGGCTGCAGTCGACACGCATTGGTCTTAAACTCATCGACATTCTGTTGAGAAACTGTGCTGCCTCCGGCACTGACCCGGCCAGTAAGTGAACTTTTTTTTTTCTTACTTGGATGTGCTTTTAGGTATTAGGGATGACCGTTTATGAATCTCTCTTTTTAGATTTGAACAGCCCTCTGTTGTTTGGTCGACTAAATGGCCTTTCCTCAGACTCAACTATAGACATTCTGTACCAGTTGGGTACCACACAGGACTCAGGAACCAAGGACAGGTTTGTGACGCAAATGACTTTTTAAATTAGGCTGTCCTTACCTTCTGATTTTGATGTTTGGCTTTGCTGTTAGAATGATGAATGAGAAACAGTTTTCTGTCAAGGTGATATCCTCAACGGGCTCTTAAACTGATCATAAAAAGTGTCATTATGTTTATCCTTGTCATCCTTTACCGTCGCAGTGTGCCGTTTGTTGCATTTTAAGGCACTTGACCAAGATCACTTTCAAGGACAGTGGGAGTGGATCTTTTAATATTGTCCAGCCTCATCAGTTTTCTCTTAACTTTATCATTCCAGAATCCAGGCTCTTCTCCAGTGGGTTCATGACTCCTCAAGGGTTGCAGCACTAAAAATTCCCATTGGTTACTCCAGTACCATTAGTGGTTCCTCTTCATTGAGGGAGTATGGGCTTCTCATGCCCTCACCGTCCCACCTCCATTGTGTAGCAGCCATCTTGTGGCACAGCTACGAGCTGCCTGTTGATTACGACCTCCCAACATTGCTCAACCAAGAGCTATTTGAGTGAGTCTTTTCTTTTTTTTCCCAAGCATATGTATTACGACTGAGAATCTATTTGTGACAACAGTTTGTCCTATTTCTCTTTTGAACAATTTTGCACTTACTTTATTCTTTTCATTCATCTTAGTCAACTCAAATTTTGTATTTTTATAACATTGTGCAATGATTGACAAAGTTTAACATCAGCAGTTGCATGCTACTCTGTATGTCGACATTTAACGTACAGCCCTGCAAATTGTAACTTTAATAGGTTTTGTGGTTAAATACTGAATTGCTGCCTTTCATTTCCCTTAGACTCCTGTACAATTGGTCCATGTCTTTACCTTGCGACATTGTGCTCAAGAAGGCAGTGGACAGTCTCCTGTGTTCTATGTGCCACATTCATCCAAGCTACTTCTCATTGCTCATGTCCTGGATGGGTATTGTAACAATGCCCAACACTACTCATTCCCAAGCTCAGCAGCACCGACTTGCCATGACTGACGATGGCAAAAAGCAGCACAATGCTAACACCGCCACCACCACGGGACTTACAGATGACTCCAAGCATGCAAGACCTCCAGTTACTTTATCAGAGTCCCAGCTAACCACATTGGCAGCTGCCTCGCAGTCTCCAGGAGCAATAGAGCAACTGCTAGATTCAGGATTGCCCTCATTACTTGTGCGCAGCCTTGCCCAGTTCTGTGTCTGTTTACTCGCCAATGCTGACCTGCCCTTGCCCGCTGCTCTGGCTGACAGGCGACATTACCAGTACCAGCCGTGCTCCACATCCACACATCGTCCACCGCTTGCCGCAGAGCTAGCTGCTCCAGTTCTGCGCTTCCTCACCGAAGTAGGCAACAGCCACCCCATGAAGGACTGGTTAGGCGGACCAGAGGTCAACCCTCTGTGGACAGCATTGCTGTTCCTGCTGTGCCACTCCAGTGCAAGTGCCAACACCAGTTGTCAGCCTGTGGGCAAGGCCTCATCTGGAGGCAGTCTGTCTCCATCACAGCCATACCTCTTAGGCTCACGTTTCTCCCTGGCATCTTCTGGCCAATCAGGAGGGCTCACCACACAGCAGAGAACAGCTTTGGAGAATGCCACAGTGGCTTTCTTTCTACAGTGCATCTCATGTCACCCTAACAACCAGCGGCTCATGGCGCAGGTAGAATTTCTGCTTTCCTCTTTGCCACGGGAGAAGCTAATTACATGCATGATACACACAATGCTTATTTTCAACATTGCTCTATGTTTTTGCTGAAGGTTCTCTGTGAGCTGTTCCAATCAGCACCCCAGCGAGGCAATGTGCCTCTCTCTGGAAGCATATCTGGTTTCATACGAAGGCTTTTCCTGCAACTCATGTTGGAGGATGAGAAAGTCACAGTTTTCCTACAGTCTCCCTGCCCGGTGGGTAGCCGGTTGTTCGTCACTATTTAACCATTTGATCACTGTGATGATTATGTGCATCGATGGCTTTAATTAGAAATATTTTTGTTAGAATTATTTAACTTAAAATGCTAAAAAAAGAAATGATGACTCATTAAAGGCTGTCAGTCGATTACAATTGTAATCGCATCATTTCCATAGTTACCTTGCAATTAATCGGACATTTTGTTCTAAATGTACAACCAAAGAATATTCTCACATTTTAAATACACTTCTTAACTTTGTAGTGGAAAAATGTGCTCCTTCTGCAAATATTGTTGTACAGTGGGTCTCTGCCACCTGTGGGGGAATAGCGACAATCCCCATGTAATTGACATCCATTAAAATTCGTTGGGGGACACACAATAAAAAAAACCCGCCGATGAACCACCAATAATAATTTTCCACAAAAAACGGTGGTTGGTGCCCCACCAACCATACGCCCCGCAAAAATATATATCGGTATGTTAAAATATTGATTTTTTTTTTTTTTTTAAATATCTGTATTCAGTGGTCCTCTCTTACTACTCTGTTAATAAGCATGTAAAACATTGAGTCATTGATTTGTATTAACATGAAATTGCGTAGAATTATTGTGCCGTTTGGTGGCATTAGCGTTTTCAGAGTCAGTGGGATTCCGATTCACTAAGGTACGGTCCAGTTTAAAAGGGTATGATGTTTCTTGTTAAACACAGACAAATTGTTTTACAATATGAATTCACTTGTCAATGCTGTCAATGTGGCATTTACTTCAGAGATTTATCAAAGTCGAAGAAGTATTTTAGTAGTTTTTGTCATGTTTATCAATAGGTAATATTTTAAAAACTCTCTGTAGACCAACTGTTCAAGTTAATTAAATTCATTAAAACAACCAATCATTAACAACATCAAAATAATAAAACATAATAATTTATTTTTAACAGTCAAGCTATAACACATCTTTTAAATCCAAGGAAATACTATTCTCAGATCCTTTGTCCTAATTAGCCTTTGTTTTCGGTTTTCTTCCTGTCCGCACACATGGAATGCACTGATGCCTTTGTCCCACCTGGCTAAGCATCACCATGGCTACGCAGCTCAAATAGGGCATGCCATCTCTGTCGAATGATGCCTTTGTGTTCATGTATGCCTTTATATTTTTATTTTATTAAGTACTGTTCTGATACACAATCAGGAGTGCCGCAATTTTCTGGCTAAATAGCCAGGGGAAGAAGATAAAAGCCCATGATAAAATAAGATATCCTTTATTTGTCCCGCACTGGGGACATTTACAGTCTACAGCAGCAATTTTCGGGGTAGAAAGAAGAAAAACAAAGTGTTTGCAAGTACAAAAATAAACGTAGATAAATAGAGCTGTACACAGTTCAATATAAGTGCAATGATGTTACGTGAGCTATGTTCTTGTGTAGCTGACTAAAATATGCCTGCTGGCGAATGAAGCAAGTCCATCCTCTCCAAGTCACAAGACGGGCATGTCTTGTGTCCTGTCCGTTCACAAGTTGCTTAAGGCAAGAGATTTTGTCACAATTCCCTGTCACTATTCACTGCTAATTAGTGATCATGTGGACTACGTGCAGTCTTATTCATCTCTGACCACTTGAGGGAGATATAACACCATGCAATGCTGGCACCCTTAATTTGGTTGGCTGACGTTCTAGTTTTACAGCAGTCTACTTTTACCCCAGTCGTCTGGTGTTAATTTACAATTTGTTGTCACAAAAGCTGTTTGATATTTCATTGTTTCTGTTGGATATCAAGAAACATATTTTCATTGTTCAAGTCCAACCGTTTTATCTCTTAGTTATGTTGCAGTTTCTTTGTGACTTGATTGTATTCAATGTTGTGTTCAAAGAGGTAATTCCCAGATAACAAGGTCATCTGTTTAGTTAAGATTACCAGTTCATGTTGTTGTCATTGTTGGTAGGGTTGGGTGGTATTCAGATTTTGACGCCGTTTCACCGTCTCCTCGGTGTAACTGTAAGGGTGGCTGCTATGACAACACAAGTATCTTATTCTCAGGTCCAAAGTCAAATCTTATTCATGTGAAACCAATGTTAATCTACAAGATAAAAATGACTTATGTGTACCTGTATCATCATCTGAATTTTCAGTTGTACAAAGGACGCATCAATGCTACAAGCCACATGATCCAACATCCGATGTATGGAGCAGGGCACAAGTACCGCACCCTCCATTTGCCAATCTCCACGACTCTTGCTGAAGTCTTGGACCGGGTGTCTGGTATGTATCAAAAGGAAAATGTTGACTTTGCAGCCAATTTCCATCTCTAACCTGTGTCAGTAAATAACAATCAAGAAATGACAGCAACCTCAAGTGGACCTGGAAGAAAACGAAAAAGCATAACTGCTGTAGATGAACACAACTTTTACTCTTCTCACTGGTCTTTTCTTTTGGATGAGAGCCTGGCTGTGACTAATGAATATTTGTTTCGAGTAGGCGTTTGTTTACTACTACACACAAAATAATCCGTCACCTTCAAAGTTTTCTTTCTTCTCTTTAATCTTCCCCACTTTTGTATGAACATTGAATGAAGATTGATGTAATAATCAACAATACCGCTTTGGGGGAGCATGTAACGCAAATAAGCTCTTACAATGAAGTGGTGGAAAAGAAACTTTTTTTTTTGTATTACATTGCAATACAATGTACAAAACGTTTTTTAAATACTTTAAAAGAAGTCAATAATTGTCAATATTTACTACGGTAATATGAAACACTTGTATTGTGGACCGTTTTTCAGCCATTATCCCCCAGCCCTACACATTTCTAAAAAGGTGTTTGTTTAATCTTTATATTGACCTGTTTATTTGACTTTTTCATAGTCGGGTTGACTTTAAGTATTATATGTTAAAATGAAATTCCCTAATTTCAGACTTTTTTCTCTGGATCCTTATTTTTCAATAGTAAAAAAATCGATATATTTTTCTATTTTAACCAATATGAAATACTTACATTGTGATATACTTTTCAGTCATATTGACCAGCCCTATCAAGACTAATAATGATTATTTATACTGTATTTCTATATAATATTGTGTTTTCACTTGCAGCGGTGCCTCAAGTTACAAACTTAATTCATTCCATGATACTCGAGACATTTGTCAATTGAGGTAATTTAGCTCATTGAAATTAATGGAAATGCAGTTAATCCGTTCTAGCCCCCAAACTGTTAAATTTACATTTTATGATGTCCATATATATTTTTTATTCTCATTTTAGTCCACGTGCTGTTGAGAATAAATACAGTACAGCATTAGAATAAGTGGCAATTTACTTCACGATGAAGAAATACAGTACCACACTCAAAAGTGTTAGTGCTTATTGTACTTTGAACTTTTAAGTGAGGAGGGCAGTGAGACAGCATTAGAATAAGTGGCAATTTACTTCATGATGAAGAAATACAGTAGCACACTCAAAAGTGTTAGTGCTTATTGTGCTTTGAACTTTTAAGTGAGGAGGGCAGTGAGGGCAATGAAAACGTGTCTCCTTCCAAAATAGCATAACAATTTTAATGTTTTTCTTTTGTATTTTTTGCCATGTTAATGATGTTCAGGCAGCTGCTCTTGGAATTGGAAGAAGCGCGCGTGGTTAGGCGGAACATAAGTGATTACTGCACTTACTGTGAGGCGGGGAGAAGGACAACAGCTCCCCAATTAAGAAAAATAAATAAGTTAATTTTATTCAGGTATTTTAAATGTTTTTATTATTTTGGGCGGGTACAAAAAAATATGTTTCGTGGAAACATTTTTTTCCGGAAGTGGGGCACACATTATCATTTAAAAGACCAATTGCTCTCTGTTGGCCACAGTTTTATTAGGATGGTCCTTTTTGATAAATAAATGCCTGCAGATCACGCCATCTGCTGCGTTTTTCATTTATTATGGCAGAAGAAACCTCCTCCTGAGTTTCATTTTTCCCTGCTGAATGCAACTGAATATTTTTTTTTTTTTCCAATTCAAGAGGCATTCCAATAGAATAGATACTGTACTTATCATACATACTGTCGAACTTCTTTGCCACGTTAATCAGAAATCTAGGAAGCCACTGTTAGAATTGTGATTGCAATAAGAGTGTGTGTGAGTGGAACTTCCGTCTGACACACGACAGCATTCCATCATCTGCTGTGGAGCAGCCACCACGTTTGTGTATTTTCGGGTCATTTACACCTAACAAAAACTCAGTAAATCATTCTGAAGTCAAAACAAAACAGCACAACTATCACACTGAGCTGCTATGCACAGTAGTAATCATGGTGAAATAGTGCGAGAAACAACTCAGATTCATCCGCTCATCCATGCGACGGATTGCATTACGAAACATGTATGAAACGAGAGGCATATTTTCTAGAAAAATGTTGTTTAACTTTGAGCTTCTCCCATCCTGTGTGCGGCTCAACTTCAAACAAGCATGTATTTTGAATTTTGGTTTCCATTTCTTTTTGTAGTATTGTGATAATGCCAATAACTGTGCTAGTCTGCTTGTCCCATCAGTTGTTTTGAAGTTGGTGCTTTCAGAAAACAATGCTTTAGGAAATCTATGCCTCTTATGTTCTCTTCATATATTCAGACACACCCAGCATTACAGCCAAGCTGATCAGTGAGCAGAAAGAGGACAAGGAGAAGAAGAATCATGAGGAAAAGGAGAAGATGAAAGCTGACAGTGGCTTCCAGGACAACTACAGTGTGGTTGTTGCCTCAGGTAGCCATTTACCATTTGCATCCTCTAGTTATTTTATCATGATCAAATGACAAATGTGATGCTCTTTCTATGCTCAAAATGAGCGATTTTTCTTTTTCTTTTTCTTAGGTTTGAAGTCCCAGTCCAAGCGAGCTTTATCAACTCCTCCTAGACCCCCATCGCGACGGGGTCGGGTGATGAGTGACAAGTTGACGCCCTCATCAGGTGTGGACCCTTCTGCCAAAAGCATCAGCGTGCCTGTCTTCCACCTCTACCACAAACTGCTTCCAGGTACAACTTAATCCTATGCAAGGATAACATGCAAGCATATGAATCTTATATTGTTTGTTTCATCCTTCTCTCTAGGTCAGCCCCTCGCACCAGAGATGACTCTGGCCCAACTACTGACACTACTGTATGACCGCAAGATGCCACAGGGCTACCAGTCCATTAACCTCACCGTTAGACTGGGGTCCAAAGTCATTTCTGACCCTGGTCTGTCTAAGACGGACTCCTTCAAACGGTTGCGCACCGAGAAAGGTACAGAAAGGCAGTTCATGAAAAAATTACGACCACTCTTTTTCTATTCAACTGTATTTTTAGGCAGAAAATGTTGACACACTCACAATGTACAATCCATACCACGTTTAAGCGTTCTTGATGCTGATATAATAAGCAAATGATGAGTCAAATAACACAAATTAGTATGTAGGATATTTTTGGCCCAAAGAAACTCCTGCTCCGTCACACTGGTTAAATCACAGGTGTCAAACTCAAGGCCCGGGGGGCAGATCTGGCCCGCCACATCATTTGATGTGGCCTGCGAAAGCAAATCAAACATGTTCACTTCTATGATGCTTGCTAAAATTTTAACCAAAATTTCAAATTCTCATATGTAATATACAAGGGAGCTATTGTAAATTTTCTTGTTACCAAAACCCTCATTAGAGTAACTTAAACTACAGTTGAATAAACCAGTTTTCTTGACTTCATGATATGGTTTCACAGTCATAACGGCCCTCCAAGGGAACCGGGAACTATAATGTGGCCCCCGACAAAAAATGAGTTTGACACCCCTGGGTTGAATTGTAATTATTCTAATTTCATTGAATTGCTTATATTGCACTGAGCACCCAGATACCTCTCCTCAGTCTCAGTCATTTCCAAATACGGTTACTCTTCTGTGGTCTTATCAGACAAAAACACAGGATGTATTCTTCTTCAAAAAATGCTTTGAACTCCCAACAGCTGGTTCTCTTTTTCCTTTTTCTGTAGTGGATCACACTGACATGCTGAACAACTGCCCTGAAGATGAACCTATGACTCCCGGCGAAGAATGTCTTGACACCACAACTGATGAGTCCTTACTCGAAACGCACCCCATCCAGTCGCCGTTGCAAGTCTTTGCTGGAATGGGTGGCCTGGCGCTCATTGCTGAGAGGCTACCCATGCTATATCCTGATGTCATTCAGCAGGTAATATTTGCATTAGAACAGCCAGTCAAGGAACTAAAAGAAACATTTTAGGCAAAAATGGCCTCTATCCGTGTACAACCAAGCAGGGCGTTCCATGAATAAAACAGCAGCAAAGTTATTGGCAGAAGTTATTAGAAATTATTACTTTGGTGGATACATGAACAAAGCAATAGCTGTATAGTCATGGGGACCTTTAGGTGAGTGTGTTAAAATAATTTAGTAGAGTGGGCCAAAATTACGAAGCAAGAATTCTCATCAGTTAATGAAAATCTTGATTTCAGTTATTGCAGCCAAGGGTGGCACAAGTTGTTTGATTCATCATGGGTCAATTCCTGTACTTATTCACATTGGGCTGGTTGGGTTTAGATTTGTCTCCCCTTTTAATAAATGTAATAATTTAGAGACTGCATCATATACTTATTTCACATATCTTAAATTGCCTTGAGAACAGAAGCTCGCTCAAATGGAGGATAATCTGTATCAACTGAAAAGTAATGAAAGTTCATCAAGTCAGCATTACTTATAATCAACATATTGCAGTATTGTTTTACAAGATGTTCATTGCACATTTAACCACGAGTTGTATCAACCTCTTTTAAAAGTAAAAACAAAGAATTGTATGTTATAAAACATCTCTTTATTTTTGTAACTCATCGGTAAAAGTCCAACTAGCTTCTTGACTTTTATACTATTTGGGATTTTGAGTTAAGAGGATATAAAATGGCAAATGGGCTTTCACTTGTATAGTGCACTCAACCGGAATAAGTGGAGTTGAAATAGAAATTCACGCATAAAATAATTGCCTTAAACCGCTTATATTTTTGCACGTAGTAATTTAAAAAAAATACATACAGCTGAGCATATTTAGTTGACTTTAATTAACTTGTATTCATGTAAATGCAACTTGCTAACTTACTGCTACTTGTAGTAAGTTGATAAGAAAAATAATTTCACTACTTTGCGATAAATTCAGACACATACATACAATGCTTGAGGTTTTAAAATATCACGACACACAAGATCTTCCTCCCCACAGTATAAAAACTCAGTATCTCACATCTCTGACCTTTATTGAAGTGCCCTATTCTCTTGGCTACAGGTCAGTGCACCAGTTGTGCCCTCTGCAACCCAGGAGAAACCAAAAGACACTGATCAGTTTGAGTGGGTCACCATTGAGCAATCCGGAGAGCTGTTCTACGAGTCACCGGAGTCCATTGCTACCGAACCACCCCCCATCAACAAGCAGCAGTCCCAGTCGGCGTCTTCATCTTCGTCCTCAGTGCAAACAATGTCACCCATCCCTGCCCATTCCCTGGCAGCATTTGGCCTGTTCCTGCGGCTGCCAGGCTACGCAGAAGTGCTGCTGAAGGAGAGAAAACATGCCCAGTGCCTGCTGCGCCTGGTGCTTGGTGTCACAGATGATGGAGAGGGCAGTAAGTTCGAATGTATTTAGTTTTAGTTGTCGACAAACAGTTGTTGACTAGCAGGTTTTGCAACCTTTGCTATCATACACACTTATTAGATTCTTAAATGCTCCTTTAAATTGCCACCAACAATTGAGTGAACTGCTACTTTCTTGCTGAATACTTGGTTTTTGTTCTTTTGCTATCCCCTCCAGGTCACATCCTGCAATCTCCGTCAGCAAACGTGTTGCCCACATTGCCCTTTCATGTCCTGCGAGCATTGTTCAGAAGCACTCCTCTCACTACTGATGATGGTGTGCTGCTCCGTCGCATGGCTTTGGAGATCGGTGCCATTCACCTTATTTTGGCCTGTCTATCAGCTCTCAGCCACCATGCCCCCCGGAACCCTAACGCAAGCAACAATGTCTCTGAGGTATGGCTCACGGACATTTACCCCTTTTGTAAAACAGACATCTCTCTCCATACACCTCTTTTGCCTAAACCTCTGTCAGCCCCAGAATAATAGCAAGACCGACTTTTCAACCTGAAAAGATGCATTCAATTTTGTCATAGACATTTAGATTTGTGCACCAGAAGTGGTTGGATTGATGTGTGATGATTTGGACAGTATTCAACTACATATTTGGAGCTTTGTATTAGAGTCCTCCATGTGAATTCTGTGCAAAAACAGGCATATTTGTTTTGACGTACTCTCCCCGTTCTTTTATTTCCTTGTGAATTTATGGAGTTCTCATAGCTGAGGACAGTTCATAAGGCAGATGACTTGAACAACAGCCAAATATATTTCTCTGGCTGACCTTGAGCTCGAACGGGAGCAGAGACAGTCAAGACATAGTCTCTTCAAAAAGCAGGATGCTCATCCCCCTAATTCAGTTTAGCTGGTTTCAGCTTTGTTGGACTTGTCTATGGACATACAGTTAAGTCCAGGAGTATTTGGTCAATGGAATATGTTGAATGAATTTGCTTCGATACACCACAGTGGATCTGATGAGACAAAATCAGAATATGATTCCGCCCAAGTTCATAGGGTATCACCAAAAGGGGCTGCACAATCCGCTATTATGTAGTCGGGTTGTTATTTTTAGTAACAATTTTTTTACCGCTACAAGATATCGCGAGAAGGCGTATTGATTTGTCACAAAGCGATATAACAATTTTTTGAACATTAAAATGTGACACGATAATGGTGTTTTTAATGATATTTTGATAACAAGGGCTTTTCTGGAAATAAACCAATACCACCGTAATTAGAGGTAACACCAAATAAAAACAATGCCATTCCATTGGATTTTAATCTCAACCCAATTTAGCTTTACTGATTCCAAAAAATCAATCAGAATGTGTGCGCATTGTTGAAGCAGGGATTCGTAATGTATAGCATTGTGAAAATTACTGGGGAAAAAAAAAAAAACGTTCCCAGATGGAATGGAACTTTCCAATCCGACAAACAACATGCAAACTTGAATAAAAAAATAAAAGGGGATTGGGAATTTTGAGTATACAATTACTTTAATTATATTGATTCAATTGATCAATAACTTATAAAATTGATGTTGTGTCCATGTGTGGCCAACATCCATGTAAAATAAACTAGTCCAGTGCCAATAGATATAGTTGGATTGCAGCGCAGACACATGACACTGATGTTGACAGCATGTGCAAAAGATATGTTGAACGTTGATTTGTCTTCATGTTTTTCAGTCTCTGGGAAAATTCAGGTCACAAACTTTGAAGAAAATTCAATGTTGCCTTCAAAAACGGAATATGAGACGTGCCTGCTTCAACATGTCCTTTGATATCTCACATCTCTCAACCAATGATTGTCAAATTTGCCTCGGGATTAGTTCTGTTCACTTTGTATACCGATTGTAAGATAATTATTGTAGAGCTGCTGTCATCTTACAATGTCTGATGCATGTTCTTGACAGCCACAGCTGTCAAATTGTCATGGTGGAGGAACCACTGAGGAGCAGCAGCTTTACTGGGCCAAAGGAACCGGTTTTGGCACTGGATCCACAGCCTCAGGGTGGGATGTTGAGCAGGCTCTCACAAAGCAACGTCTCGAGGAGGAGCATGTTACTTGTCTTCTCCAGGTAAGTCGGCATTCTGTTCGACTGATTAAACGTACTGCTCGGAATGACGCGCTGCGCTGTAAGCAGCATTATACATAATCAGAATTGTATCAACAGTTAACGTCACTTTTTTTTTTTTTTAATCATACAGACTTGCTGAAAATTAATAAGGATGAAAAATATCTATCATTATAGGACAGTAATACTTTGCTGTGTATTAGTGAAGCCGTTTGTGTTCAGTGCTTAGACTTAATTATCTCCTCTGATAACGTGGTTCCGTTTCCTAGGTCTTGGCAAGCTACATTAATGCCGCAGGTTCCAGCAGCTTCCACAGCACTGATACATCTTCAGCAGAGAGCAGAACCCACAACAGCTCAGCACTCCCAGTAGTGCTGCAGGAGCTGCTTAGTCAGTCCTGTCTCATCCCCGCTATGTCCTCCTACCTACGGAATGATTCCGGTAAGCCCCTATTCCATTCATCAATTTTGTTGATACAACTGGGCAAGGCTTATCGATAAGTATGTCCAGGCCCCACCGGCTTATATTCCAACTTTTCTATTGGGTGAAGATGGCTTTCTTTGAATTTTAATTGCACATATTTGTCATTCGCCGTAGCTGACAAAGTTCAGTTCACTTAGGTAGTCAGTGAGTGATATGTGTCCAGCCTCATACATATGACCACTTTATTTGAAGTGTGGCCGATAGAATGTCTTTTCAAGGGGAAATGCCACTGCATTACCAAATGAACATGATGTGTTTAAATAAAAGCTGATAGCTCTTTGATCAATTTCTGTAAAAGAGCCAGTTGCCCAGCAGCTCTGGTCCTTCAATAAATGTCACAGAGAGCTGGCTGCAGCGAAAAAAGTGAGAGGCCTCCTCCTCCTCCTCCTCCTCCTCCTCCTGCTCTGGTGTCCAAAGAGCTGTTAGCCAGAAATAAATTGTACTGCTCAACCAGGGAGTGAAGAATAATATAATTGAAGGACTAAACACCGATGTCGAACAATAAAATTGTGTGTGTGTGTGTGTGTGTGTGTCTGTCTGTCTGTCTGTCTGTCTGTCTGTCTGTCTGTCTGTCTGTCTGTCTGTCTGTCTGTCTGTCTGTCTGTCTGTCTGTCTGTCTGTCTGTCTGTCTGTCTGTCTGTCTGTCTGTCTGTCTGTCTGTCTGTCTGTCTGTCTGTCTGTCTGTCTGTCTGTCTGTCTGTCTGTCTGTCTGTCTGTCTGTCTGTCTGTCTGTCTGTCTGTCTGTCTGTGTGTGTGTGTGTGTGTGTGTGTGCGCGCGCGTGTGTGTGCGCGCGTGCGTGTCTGTGTGAGCGCTTGTGCGGATTTTCTGCACTCGGCACTTCGGATTATAAGGCGCAACGTCAATGAATGGCTTAATTTAAAACTGTTTTCAAATAGAGGGCGCACTGCATTATAAGGCGCATAGAATAGATGATATGATAGTAGCTGCGGTTGCGCTATGCATCCACCAGATGATGCTACGCTAAAGAGAATACACTACAGCTTTCTATCTATTGAGCCCTGGCTGTCGTTGTGCTATGGATCCACTAGATGGAGCCAGGCTTAGGTGAATACAATACAATGCAATACAGTTTGATTTATATCAAGCCTTCACTGCCGCTGCAAAGTGCTTTACAGAACTTTTAAAATACTGCGCCCAAGAAATCTGAATTTTGATCTATATGTAGCTCCCTCAGGATGTAGCATGAAGCACAACACAAAAGTCCATAAAAATACACGGTTTATTCATTGGTAAGCCATGAGAATTGGTCACGAACACGGACATGAAACAAATACAAATGGGATTACATATCATTAAATGGAAGACAAACATTATGAAGACAATTGATTCAACAAAAAGGCACACACACCTCATGGGCTCACATCCACAAGCGGCTAAATACTATCCTTAGAAGTCTTGCTTGTGTCCTCCTTCCTTTGTTTAGTCAGTAGTTAACTATGCTTCTGGTTTTATCTTCGTTTCATTATGACTGCGCAGAGCTAAGTAGTTTTCTGTTTGAGTGTGTTGGCGAATACACATGTCGATTAATGTTGGGCAGTTTCGGTTACAATTGGTTCCTACTAATAATCACCACTAGATAGCATAGGAACACTAACAGGGAAACAACTCAATGGGGACTATAAAGCGACTGTAACTAACACCTTATACTGTATAAGGTGCAGCGGATTATAGGGCGCACTCTCAACGTTTGGGAAAATTGATTGCTTTTAGGTGTGCCTTATTATTCGGAAAATACGGTATGTGTGTGTGTGTGTGGCGGGGGGGTTACATATGTTTCTTTTTCATTCTAACTTCTTTTTAGGGACCACATCAGGAACTGAGTCATCATAAATTTATGGCAAAATAATATGCAGTTTAATCTGTTACAAAAGTATTCTTTATGTTCAGTCATAATATGAATAATTTGTAATTGACATGTAGTTGAACCTGAAGCCCAGAAATTCACACGAATCAGTGCCCAAGAAATAGATCTCCATTTCAAAAAATTTTGGTGTTTGTTTTTTAAGCATTTATCAATACCAGATAAACAGTAACAAATTAATAAACAGTAAGCAGAAAAAAAATGCTTTGCAATGCTTTTAAATGGAAATTTGTTCAATTAATCAATAAAATAATCATTAGATTACCGTAATTTCCGGACTATAAGCCGCGACTTTTGTCACACGCTTTCAACTCTGCGGCTTATTTCATGAAGCGGCTTATATAAAGACTTTTCTAACGGCCGCCTGTGTACCGTCTTTCTTTGTAAATATCTCATGTTACAACATGGGCACATGCGGCTTATACACAGGTGCGGCTTATGTGTGTACAAAATATTTTTTTCCTTTAAAAATGTAGTGGTGGGGCTTATAATCAGGTGCGGTCTATAGTCCAGAAATTACGGTAATTGATTCTAAAAATGATAGACAGTGACAGCCCTAAGAAATATGAAACGTGCCAAATTTTGACTGAGTCGGTTTCACGCCAACACCTGTGTGTGTGTGTGTGTGTGTGTGTGTGTGTGTGTGTGTGTGTGTGTGTGTGTGTGTGTGTGTGTGTGTGCGCGCGCGCGCGTGCGTGCGTGCGTGCGTGCATGTGTGCGCGCTCACGAACAAATGTACAATAATGATTCATAAATATGAACGTGTTGATTTTATTCTATTTATATACAAAATGTGTACTGGACCAGTGGGGCCAGCATCAGCGAACTTCGGGTGACCTGACACAGGCACGTAGTGGCCCCGGGTCATCTGGCCATTGTTAATGTACAACTCTGTAACTGGTATGAAGCGAGGAGCCCTTAATATTTTTTGCCACTTCATATCAGTTAGGGCAGCATTGTTGTCCCACCGCACTCCCATTTTAAGTAATGCGTAAACATCTCCGTGACAGAAAGAACAAGGCGAATGTGGCCTGACTGACTTTACTCTGTAAATGGGCTGTTGCTCAGAATTTTTTTTTTTTCCATACTATTTTCAGTGTGAAACCGTAGGGTTTCACATTTTCCCTGCCGATGCTGGATGAACCATTCCCTACACAGATGACCATGACTCACTATCTTCTAGTGAAAATGTCCCGCGACAGGTTGGATCAGAGCCACTGGTCGCTTGCACTCGTGACTTATTTACATTAACTCTTAAATAAATAAAATGCTATTAGGAGTAATAGCTCAATTCAGTGTTCTTTTGCTGTTCCAAAATAATCCTTGAAAAATATTTTACTATGATACCTAATTATAAATCTTCTTTTCTGCAACTGATATATATATTTTACTTATTTATATTTATAAATATTTTACTATGATACCTAATTATAAATGATACCTAATTATAAATCTTCTTTTCTGCAACTGTGATAGCCCACATAATGAGGCGAAAATATCCTTTGGGTTTTGAATGATAACAAATTTTAATTAGTAAAAATGACTTCAGTTTCATCTTGTACTCTCTTTATAGTCAAATGCTTTGTTCAACTATGGGCAAATCAAAGCAACTACCAGCTTAGGCTCTGTTTTTAAATAATATATTTCAGGTAAGAGACAACATATGACATAAATATTTCATTGTATCAGCAGTCAGAACAAAACGACTTCGAGACCCAGTTTATAGTTTTGCTGAATCATAGGGATGTCAGTCCTGGTTGAGCTCTTGCGTATGTCCATCATAGTTCCAGCTCCAGTAATACCTTCTTCATGTTTCATGCTGTCTCTTCCAACCCTTCGCTATCTTTCCAGCTTATGACTTTGACTTGGTATGTTTTCCGTGTCTTCACACAGTTCCTCTAACTTATCCCACCTCTTAATTAGGATAAGATTCATTTCAAACTTTTTGAACAATCTTTCCTAACTTAATATTGTTCTCTCAACTTCTTGTAGTCGTTTCTGAAAGTCGATTGTTACGAAAATATCTTATTCACTATAATGTGGTGTAAATGTATACAAACACAATTACAAATAGGTTGAGGAATGTGCCAACGATGCCTAACATGGCCAAGATGGATTCCTCCTGCTCCTCCTTCAGCTCCAGTGCACGCACATCATCAAGGGTGATAACTGTGGTGCCCATGATCTTGCAACTCCCCTAACCCCTCAAGGTGACCCGTATCTGGAATAAAAAGAAATAAACAATACTGTCAGTTTTCAAATTTGACAGAATAGGGTGGACATTAGAATGTCTTTGGCAAACTCTTCTCACCAATGTGTATCCATCATGAATTAAACCAAATATGGCCATGCAGAGCGGGGGGGTCACCATTTTTACTGACCTGCCACAAACTAGGAGATAAGGACTAATTTCAGGCTTTATGTCAACAATTGGATAAGCATAACCTTGGATTATCTGGGATGAAATTGTAAAATTACCAGCGGTAATGTTTCATGGTTGTCCTGTCAAAAGAAGCATGATTAAATGCTGCCATTAGAGCCTCTCACGTCCGCCCACTGATTTTCATGTGCTGTAAATGATTAAATACCCCAGATGCTCTGTGGAGTTAACGAGCGTCATTCGCATCCTCCTTGTGTAAGAAAATACAATTATTAAAAAGCTGCAGTGTGTCCTACAGCAAGACAAATACAGTACATGAGCAATAAGGTGTTTGTTATTTTCCTTTTTGCTGGGTGTATTTGTGAATGGACAGCTTCTGCAGTCTTTCCTGAAAAATATGCCGTCACTACTCATGATCGTATATCACATGAATTACAAAGGGGATTGCAGGTAAATGGCGGGGGGGGGAGTATCTTACCCTAAGGTGGTTCTGGTGCAAAGAATTGTCTTTCACCATGCTTTTTGGATCTTCATAAAATTCCTCGGATTTAAAGGCATGCTACATATGGAAACCTGCAGGCGAAGGGGGGAGAATCAGCAGCTTTGCTCAACTGTACTTCCAGGGAAAACCCACCTTGTGTCACATCCAGTTCAAAACACCAAGTCCAATGTCCCCTGATAATTGAATTCAGTCAGACCCTTCCCTAGTCTTCAGTAATTTTTTATCTGCTTAAGTACAACCAGCTTTATTTGATGATGGTGATGACGAGCCCTCTTCTCTCTTCCCACCTTTCTTTCCATCCCTTCCCTTGTGGTTCCCTGTTTTGTGTCAACTCTTCTGTACAATTCTCCCAAATCCCTCCTCATAGTGTTGGTTAATTTACCCACCCCGCTTGCTCTGTCGGTTACATCTTTCTTGCTTCGGATTCTTCTGGGAAACAGTGCAATTAGTGCTTCTCAATCAAGTATCTTGCTCACTCCGGATGCATCCGACCCCGAACGATATATCATTGTCTGATAGTTGTGTAGGTGTGTCAGCTGATGTCTCTATGCCACCATGCCTCCAATCTTCTAGCGGAGAACGCACAGGTCCCTGAAGTAGCCAGGTCTGGTTGTTGATATTCCAGAGGAAGATAAAAAGCCAAAATATTCCATAGATTAGATCACTGTGGAGAGGCAGAGGCAGCCGCAGAGCCAGACGATTACTATAGTCTTCGAGATGTTAACGTACCGGCAGTGACAGCAGTGTTACGGTGGGTCCTCAACACCAGTTAGATACCATGGCAGGACTGTGCATTGCATAACCGAGCAGAATGATGGCAAAAGAGGGAGGACGGATCCTGATGGCCGTGGCAATGAAGGAGCATAAGAATGAGCAAGAAGAAAGAGGAGGGTGGGGGAAACAACATTGCTCACGCTTAGCGTTCTCTCCTCCCCTCTCCCTGCTGTGGGGGCTGGTTGTGCACACAGAAGCACAGCTTCTACCAAAACAGCGCAAATATAAAAAGGGAGGAAACATTTTTTTTAAAATGTCATACCGACACTGCTGTTGGTGTGACGTGGAGCCCATCATCAGCTGCTGCTTGTTGGACAGAGCCATGCAGAAGAGCGATGGAGGAAGGGGGGGGGGGGGGACTATGAAGCAGTGGTGAAATAAAAATTGGTTGAAGCTGGGCGGAGGACAAAGCAGGAGGCAGTGAAAAGGGATGGGGGCAGAGGGGATCTGTGCGCACGTTATTTATCTCTAAGGGGGATGATTCTGTGACAGCCGCCATGGACGTTTAGTCGGCTCTGGTCTTAGATTGCTGTAAAACATACCTTAATGACTATATTATCGAGCATTTTATTTCTCTGTTCTATCTGTGGACTCAATGTAGGATCGTCACCCGGTTTAATTACTCATCGCAAAACATCACAAGGCTTCAATGGAATGTTCAGTATTTCTATTTACTAAATGCCAGAATAATGAAAGAAGGAAATTTTAGGGACCATTTTTCAGTCTGTTCTTCAAATTCAGAATTGCACTTACCCTAAAATTACTATCCATTCAACAGTTTGGGAAAACCCAGATGAGGGTCTTGAGGGGTTTCGGAGAGGTTTATTGAGAACATTTCAGTTCATAAGAGACACACCTGTGGATGAATTTTCGACACAATCCTGAAGCACCATGTGTAACATAATTGGAAAGTCAAAAGAAGTCAACCAAAATATCAGGAAGTTTTGCAGTTTTGAGATCCCTGAAGGTGCCACATCTTTTCAATTGTACGCAAGTACAAACACCATGCAAGTACAAACTCTAGGTATCATACCGCTCAGTAAGGATATGGGTTCTCTGTCCCACAGATGAATGTACATTGATTGGTCAAAAACGTGCGTTTCGAACCAAGAACAAAACAAAATACCTTGTAAAGACGTTGGCTAAAGCCAGTAAGACGTGTGTCATTATCCGCAGGAAACTGAGTCCTGTAAGTGACATGGGCTCACTGCCAGGAAGAAATCCATTACTTAGGAGAAAAAAAAAATCCAGATTACAGTTGCACACAAGGACAAAGAGTTTAATTTTTGGAGACATGTTCTGTGGTCAGACGACACTAAAATTGAACTGTTTGGACATAATGAGCATCATTCCGTTTGGATGAAAAAGGGAGAAACTTGCAAGCCTGGGAATAGCATCCCATCAAGGAAGGTACATTTTGAAGGAGAACAATTCAAACTTGATAGATTCGGTGGGATTACAGTTCGATTCCGTATGGTATGGCTGTTACGTTTGTCGTTAAGTTATGTTGACATTTTTCATGTTAAGATAACTTTTCAAAGAAAATACAAATCATCAGCAACATTAGATTTCCACTGTACCTGTCGTGCAAGATGTGGTTTGTTATGACTCAAGGATGGCACATTTTAAAATTTAGCAATTCGGGTTGGTTCAATCAAAACCGATTCTCTGATTCAAATCGGTATTCTTTGCACCTTTACTCAATCTTAATGGAAATATATGGGCAGACCTTAAAAGGCATATGAACAAGGCATTTTACAAATGTGGGTCAGTTATGCACGCATTTGTATTTTTCTATAATGGATGTAAACAGCTGGTTTCAACTTTGTATATTATGTGTGTTTGGAAGAGTACTTGATATCTCAAGTTTGTTTTGCTTTCAATTTGGTTGAAGTTAACATTTTGTCCTCATAGATTTAATGTCTCTGACAAGACATCGATAACCATGCATCTCTAGTTTGAAGAATGCCGTTTGCTAATCAAGTGACTACAGAAAAACAACTCCTCATTCAAGCCTAATTAACTTTAGCGAAGCAACACTGTTCCTTCTCATTCTCTAGCACGCAATTTAATCATATCAGTGACGGCATCACTTTCAGTCAGTCAGTATGCATTTTGCACGGTTTGCATGCTAGCCAATGTTAATGATGCAGTTTTAAGGAGTCTGGTACATGACTCCTGGAAGCTTCCTATTAAACTGACTACATACCGAGCTTCAAGCTTATTTCCATCCATCTTTTGGAGACTGATTACTGATTGGCAGTGAGGGGAAAAATTGTCCTAGATAATAGATTTTTTTGACAATTTGTGGCATTTCAGAGTGAGACAAAAGAGATTATATGATTTCCTTACAGGAAAGGTTCTTCTGTCTTAAATCTTCGGCTACTTTTTCCTGTTTGTTCAACTGACTCGCCGCTTTAATGCACATTATTACAATGTCCACTGAGGCAGACAGTGTGTTGGCAAAACTTTACCATTTCATTCTCTAAACTGCTCATTTGTCTTAAAAGGTTGAAGAAGACCTGACACACTTCAACCATGATCTTCAGTTAGATTATCAGCCACCCACCGGTTATGTCCCATTTGCTTTTTTTTTCCCCCCTGTTCCCAAGGGAAACGATTAAACACCACGACTACCACCAACCATTTGCACCCTAATGCCTGTACTATTTTGGCAGTTTTGTAAGTCGCGCTGCGCTGCGTGAAGTGGGTGTTTTTTATTGAATGTTCTCATTGTCCACTGAAACATACACTAAATCTCAGTTACAGCAGAGTGAATTTGAAGCTCTCAAGCAATGTCATTGCATCACCGATGTGCACCCGCCTCTAGTTGTTGTCATGGTGATAGCAAGACGAAATTTAGCACTTGACGTAGTGGTCTTATGTGCGCTGGAGAGAAAAGTAATAAAATGGAAAGTGGTTTCTCCCACCCCCACACCCCCCCTTTTTTTTTGGTGCTGATGATAGTGGTCGTGACTGTATGGACACGGTATATTGTTCAAGTCATTTCATGGCATCTTTGGCAGGCAAGCGCACTGAGATGATTTCTGTAAATATCAGACACTGTTCGTCAGAGCTTTTTTTAGTTTGCATAACACTGCTTTTTTTTTTCATCATGTATTGAATTTTCAGATCTTTCTGGTAGTTGAGGTGCTCAAAACCGTATTCAAGCAATTATGCATTGCACAAGTTTTTTGAACCCATTTTTAGTGACGTTATTTCCAGATATGTTGTAACTCAAGGTTGTTTTAAACTAAAATAATTTCATTTTTATTTTAATAATTTAATAATACCACCCATGAACCCTATTTGTTTTCTTTATGTGGATGGTCCCACCACCACCTCACACCCCAGTAAAATACCAAATATCACTTTGTCAGCTATGACCACAGGGATTTTAACAATGGACTGTGTTGGTTGAGTACATTCGAAATTGGTTGAAAAAGATGGTGTGAGCAAGGTGAGGGATAAGAATCTTGATTGTTGGCAGGGAGAATTTATAGCCTGACAGCAGTAAGGAATAACACACATACAATTACAGACTACATTCATAAGACTCGGCGTTGTTCATTCATTATTAGCACTTGAGGTTCCTGTGTGACTGGTACCACCTTCTATCAACCCCATCAGATCTTCAAATAAGAGAAATACCACACTGTACAATGCTCTGTGTTGGCATTGGTTGTAAACGAGAACTACAAATGACCACGGGCCTATTTCATTCGGACGGCCGACATAAACGTAGTTTTTTTTTAGCCTGCCTCCACTAAAGCAAACCATGGCATACTCGACCGACGACAGTAACCTGTACTTTGCGTGGTCTTGGCACCAAGTGCTACCATGAATAATGAGAAATCAGGAGTACTTGATGTAATTTACTCCAGAGATGGAACCTGTTTTCGGAGAACCACATTGTGACGTGATGATTGTGTTAATGATTGTGTTCCAAAACCAAAAAGAGGACGATAGCCTGATTCAACCTTACCAAGATTTGTCAACCGAGGACTAAACATTTTTCTGTAGATTCCCCCAAGTCCTTGCGGTAGTGTGTGTGTGTGTGTGTGTGTGTGTGTGCGTGCGTGCGTGCGTGCGTGCGTGTGGTATTTGCTTCATGCAGGCCCCAAATATGAACCTTGTGGAGGAATATTTTTCATGGCCACCATGGTTATCAAGGAAATGAGAAGTCACCAGCTGACTGTTATCTGATTGTGTTATTTGCTTAGTGTGATCCAGGGTGAAACTGTCTGTCATAATTTCCTTAAGAATCTTTTGCAAATATATATATTTTTTATCTAAACTATAAATTGATCTTAAGCACTATTTTGTGTCTTTGTAGTTCTGGATATGGCACGTCATGTGCCCCTGTATCGGGCATTACTGGAGCTGCTTCGGGCCATCTCAACCTGCACATCCCTCGTCCCTCTGCTGCTTCCTTTGTCTGGTGACCGAGGGCAGGATGAAGAAGAGGAGGATGAAGAACAATCGGAGGGACAAACTTCTGTTGGGATGCTGCTGGCCAAAATGAAGACATGCGTCGACACGTACACGAATCGCCTCAGGTGGGACTTGCATGTGAACAAAATTGTTGGTACCGCTCCGTTAGTGAAAGAAGAACCCGCATGGGTGACAGAAATAACTTCCATCTGATAATTGCGAGAATAAATTTTAAAAAATGGATTACCAATAAAAATCAGAAATTGCTATTAAATTGTGGTTCAACAGAATTATTTGAAAAAACAAATGAAACAGGCCTAGACAAAAATGATTAAACAATATTTTTTGCACAACCTTTTGAGGCACTCACTGCAATCAAATGATTTTTGTAATTTTCTCTTGAGAATTCTGCACTTCTCAGCTGGTATTTTGGCCCACTCACCATGGGGAAACTGCTCCAATCGTGAAGGAAAAAAAAAAAAAACAAAGGAACCTTGAGAAGGAACCACAGATGGCAGGGTAATCACTTCAGGATGACCAGACCGCAATGGATGCTAAATGGGCAGCATTTAACCCATAATGTCGTGCTATACAATGTCTAACTACTTTTTAGAATAGCGTGGGAGTCCGTTTAATAAGATGAAGCACTGTAGTAAGACACCTCTGGATTAATAGGTCCACTTCAAAACACAGCCTGGTCGGTCGATGCAGAATTCTCCGTCACGATGCCTCTGGGAAGGAGGCCCACCTCACATCTTGTCCCACTTAATCGGTGCATATTGCGTACAGCAACATTAAATTTGGTCATTGTTACTTAGCCCCCTCTCCAATTAGCGGAGGATGGGCAGGAGAAGGAAGAAGCGGGACCAAAACAGTCCTATAATGCAAGAGTATAAAAATAAGTCGTAAATCGAGATTTAAGCATTTCTACTGAGGTAGCAACTCTCATCTCGACAGGTAGGGCATTTCACAGCATTGGAGTCCAAACGCTCTAGAACGCTCTGGAACCAGCGGACTTCTTTTTGGCTCTCGGCATCACCAAATGACAAGTCTATTTTAAGCGATCGTTTCGGGAAGAAATGTACAGTACCATTAAGTTGGCGAGATAGGAAGGAGCGAAGTCCCAGAATATTTTATGAGAAAGTAACAAAACTTGCCAGTTGGCCAGTATGGAGTAATTTGATGAAAACTCTCATGTGCTCGTCAGGAGTCTCGCTGCAGTATTTTGTTACGAACTGAAACCTACAGTTAGTAAAAAAATTAATATGAGACATGGGAAGACCAGAAAGCAGCACCTTATAGTCGTCAAGGTTATCAGGTTTACAAAGCAAAATATTGAAGGTCATCCATTGTTTAATCTCATGCCTCTAGATTACAGCAATCACACAGTTTCATAGTGTCTAAATGCATATATAGTTGAGTATCATCGGCAAGACAGAAAAAACAGTTTTATTGACATATAATATCACCAACCGGAACAATGTAGATGCCAAGCAAAAGAGGGCAGAGTATTGTTCCCTGTGTGGCTGCACAGGTGACATTGCAATACTCAATGGTCACATTTCCATGAATTACAGGTTGCGTCCTCTATGAGAGAAAGATCTAAACCAAGAAAGTGTTGAGCCTGTAATATGTAGTTGGTTGAACTTGTCTTTATGGTGAAATTATTTCCAATCTCTTTAGAGGCTGTTTGATTGTTGATTTGCATTTTGAATTAATCCTCTACCTAACAAATAATGGGGAAAGATTAATTTGTTCCATGGATTAAACATTTACATTTAAATAATATACAGGTGATATAACACTTTCTGAGTGAAATGTCGCAAATACAAAAAGATGTTTGTGGGGGTTTTTTTAGTTAAATTTTAGTTAACACTTAAACACAAAACAGTAAACTTTAATATTAACAAGTATCGCTTTCAGCAAATAGTTTATTTAGTTGTACCTATATTGCTACTTCAGATAATCTTAGTAACAGTTTATGTATGTATTCATTTATTTTATATTAATATACACACAAACTAGCCCTGGGGGATATTCAGACGCAAGCAAGGGAAGTGAACAGCTGATGCCAAGCAACTTTGCCTGATTTTGTCCTCCCACATTTCTTTTTTTTTTTTTCTTTTTTTCACGAGTTCTGGGTTCTTGTTCAACTTTTGGTCTTTAGTTCTCTCGAATTATTAGGTGTTGGTTTTCCAAACAGAGTTCGGAGAAGTCTGCTTTTTTTGAAAATTAGATAACACATTGCATTTTCACTTAATGATGCAAAATTTCAAAATTGACCCTGATTATCAAATAGATCGAATGTTGTCGGCCTGATTGTCTCATATCTAAGAGGAAACACCCACTTCAAAATTTTGAGTATTATACTCAATGCTACATTATGAATAAATGTATATTTGTATATTACAGGTCCAAGAAAGATAAAAGCAAAGGCGTTGTGAAGCCAGATAGCTCAGACCCAGAGCCTGAGGGCCTCACTCTTCTTGTGCCCGACATCCAGAGGACAGCTGAGATAGTCTATGCCGCGACGACGAGCCTCCGGCAAGCTAACCAAGGTAGATGCACGTGCCTATTTCTATTTTACGACTGTTGCAGCAAATTTCAAATTGTTTCTCATCTGTGTGAGTTAAATCTTTAAGGGCTACTGAACCTATTTTACCATTTGCAGTTGTTAAAAGTTTGTCTATAATGAATTAGATTTCCTCATTATTTTTAATGTACAATTTTCCTCATTATTTTTAATATATAATTGACACCTTTGAAACTCAGTTACCTGACCCCTGAGTACACATTATGCCACTTCCTGTCAACAGCAAGTGGTAAAAGGCATCTTTAAAGGTGTTAAGTGTACTTGGAAAAATAAAGAAGCTATCAAATTTATTACAGTATAGACAAAATATTAACTTTTTAGTGCTGAAAATGGCTAGATAAGTAAAGTATCCCATTTCCTTTTTATCACTGAAAATGGCTAAATAATTTTAGTATCTCGTTAAGTCTGACTTCTGGGGCACTACAATAAAACAGCACAAACCAAACTTCACCATGTGTTTGCCTTATTTTAGTCTGGCTCTAAATTGGCAATCCTCTTCATTTCACACTTTGTTCTTCTTTATCCTTCGTGTAAGGACACAGAAATGGACACTTTATTCAACCCAAAAGTGCTCAACTTTCATAACCTCTGACTGTAGGTCATATATTCAGAAGTGACCAAGGCCAACCTTGAACGTGTTTAGAGTTGATCATTGACGGTTAACTTTGAAGTAAAACATTTCCAGCATGTACAATTTTACACATGACACATTTTCCTCATTTATTCTGTGGAACATGAAACAATATCTCGAGTTGGATTTGCACTTGTCTGACATGAAGGAGAGCATTTAAAAAAGATTCCACACATGTACTGTATGTAGCTTTTAAACAGAGACAGTTAAGGCACGGTGAGTCCATGGCAATGACTCGAAGCAGAAAAATGCAGGAAATAAGAGTCTTCCAACAAAATTAGTCACCTTAATAAAGTAGCAGATGAATAAAATCTCGACTGCACACCGAAACATGATACGTGTCCCTCATTACCTTGTTGCCTGACAGTACTCTTAATTATCCCCCAACCGGCCATTAAATTTAGCTCGACAGAATTTTAATGCTCTGTCCATATAAATAGCGAGCCAACTGATCACTGAGGTGCAGAACTGACTATTAAACATAGTAAAAGTATGCGGGGTGTGGGGATAGAGATCAATGCTATATTACTTCCCTTTATGAATTCCATCTGTTTAAGGCCTCACAAATCACATCATAGAATTTTTTTTCGATGTGTACCTTGCAACATGAACCCCTTGACAAATTAATAATCATTTAATTAGGGGAGTTCTCTTGAGGAATGTATCTTTAAAAAACATGATCTCAACAAAATTTCTGCCCTAAGTGCTTAGGCTGCTTTCAAACTAATTATAGTGTCTGACATACAAAACTGACGTAAAAAAACAAAAAAAAAACAAATGAAGGAAAAATATACATAATTCATTTTCCAGTCATCTATCAAGATGCTTGTGGAGGCTCTCAGTCGTATAGGAAAGTTCCATCGTAGAAAGGGTTCCGTCAGTCGACGAGGTACAGATGACGACTGACGGAACCCTTTCTACGAAAGTCATCTATCAAGGTAATTTCACCCATCCGCCATCTGATGTTGTCAGCCCGCACAAATCACAATTCTCAACCAGTTCCCTTCAAACTTGATCTTTTTATTTTCATACAGATATTTAAGTAGTCATTCTGTCCAGAAAAATAACCTTATTATAAGTCCAGCGAGGCTATGACATGACGCAGTTTCCATGGCCCCAGTTGGGGACACAATTGTATTACACTCCAACCTGTTCATCTCTGCTCCCAATACATCTTGTTTAACAGAGAGGAAATTGGTTGAGACTTCAAGAAAGGTATCAAGCAGACCCAAGCCCCTTTCTATCCTGCGTTCTCTTGAAGAAAAATACGTTGCTGCCATGAAGAAGCTGCAGTTTGGTGAGACCATCTTTTCATGTTTATTTGCAAGCAGTTGTTTTTTTATTTGTTTCTGTTTATTTACCGTATTTTCACGACCATACGGTGCACCGTATTAAAAGGCGTAGTGTCAGTTATATCTGTATTTAACACATACACAAGATGTATTATTATTATTACTTATTGTATTATTGCACGCCAGCATGGTAAAACATACGCAAGCTTAAACAATACGGCAGCATTATGCATGCTCGCGTGTGTTTTTAAAAAGGCAGTGGGAGCAAAGATAAGAAAACCTTTATTAGTCTTGCAAAGTTGAGTTCATATTGTACATTTTTAACAATATGCTCACGTTATTTTTTTGATCAATCCTCATTATTATATCCATCAAAGTCCTACTCTTCTGTATCCGAAATGAACAGCTGAGCAAGTTCACAATCAAGCATGCCAGGTTCCCTTGCATCATTGTTAAAGTCAATCTTGGCTCCTCAGAAATGATACTGACTTTTGCCTCAACTCCAACAACATTGCAAGCAGACACATGAACCCAAGCATCCGCAGTCCGTTCACAAATTTTGGCGTAACTCGCCCAACACTGCCTCTCAGTCTAAGGAAAGGTGTGTTCGCCATCGCGCCCACGCCGCTCGCGACTTCATTTTGGCTGTTTCTGTCCATTCCGATGGCAATCAAGTACAAGAGTAAAAACTGGCTTCACGCGCCCCGTTGTGCGTATCGGTACCGTGCTGGTCCCCTTCTTCTCAACAGTGTTGTTCACCGGGAATATCAAAAGTGAACAGCACCTCATCCATGTAGGCTTTTTGTTGTATTTCAAAATGCAAAGTATTTATATAGTATGTAAAGTGTCCCTCATTACTTGCCGTACCCCAAGTGGGTAAGCTAGGACCTACTCGGGGCGTGCTTTTAGTGTCCTCTTTCACGCCCACCCTTCCCACTTTAATGTCTGCATGCAGTCCTCAGTTACGTCCGCCTTTCCTCTATACAAGCAAGGTGTCGGCTCAACATCACTCTGTCAAGCGGACCCGTCATTGAAGTCACACAACAGTATTCACAGATTTTGGAACTCAGTGCATATTATTAGGCGCCCCGTCCATTTTAGAGAAAATTTGAGACTTTTATGTATATCTTGGTCGTGAAAATATGGGATTGAAAACGTATGCCATTCTCTCTAATATGATCATCCTGTATTGTGTTACAACTCAGAAATAAAAGAACGCATTTGGGCCCATATCCCGGCTAACATTGTGCGAGAAGCGGGGTACATCCTGAACTGGTTGCCAGCCAATCGTAGGGCACCAAACAACCATCCACACTCAAATTCACACCTATGAGCAATTTAGTGTTCAATCAACCTATCATTTTAGGCTTCATTACACGATTGAATAGATTTTTTTAAACCTCCATCTCGAGTAATTTATAAGTGACTTCTGACACAAATGTATGCTGGCATTTGTTTGTGGTTGAAGAATATCAGCAGCACAACTTGGCTGTGCCTGTTTCACTTTCTTGCTCAACGGGGAGAATTCTCATGTTTTTACTTTTTTGCCAAGTCAAGCACCAAAAGCCTCAGAAGTAAACGACAGTCCAACAAAAGAAAAGTGTTGAGCTTTTTCATCTATAGTTCACATTGGCACAACACAAGATCTTTTGATATCACAAGCTAAGGCCGACAGGTGGTATGAATTTAATGAAACTTAAATGCAGGTTGACAATTCGAGCCTGTGAGCCTGAGGCAGGGCAAACAATCCCACGCACGCAAGTGGAAATCGCTGCATGCGTTTGTAGATTTCACCACATGCTGATATGCCGCTGCATATGTAAAGAAGAGGAGCAAGAGCATGTACAACGGGAGAGGGAAGAGAGTCCCTAGAACTAGGGCTCGATGATTATTGAAAAATATAATCACAATTACTTGAGTACTGATCAATCACTGATGAATAAAAAAAGATTATTCCTTGATTTCAAAACTGAGTATTTATTCAACTACTAAAATTCAACTACCGGAATTCAAATCGCTCATCATAGTGTCATGCCAATTCATCCCCACTTCATTTTTGAGCAATCTTATTATCAGGTACAAAATGAACTTATAAATATCATGTGAAATTCAAGCCTCTTGCATTTTCATTCTGCCACATCCACACTTTTGTGGCCTTGCATCTTTGCATCCATTGAAGCCTTGAATAAGCATTACGCCTATGTCTTTATCACATTTATTTTATCTTACGTTATTTTCACAAGTCTTTGGACTTACTGTGCTAATTTGGGATTTGGGGGATTTTATTTTGTGCCTTGCCATGTGGAATTGTGTGCTGGTTCGACAACAAAACAAACAAACAAAAATACAAAACAAAACAGTCCTTGCAACTTTGTATCCTTGGAAACTCAACTTAAATATGATTCGAAAGGACTGTTTTTAGGTATAGTACAATGTACATGCTTGCATTTACTATTTTCTTTCACTTCAACCAGATGCTAAAACCATTGAGTAACTTGTCATTCTTTTACCTTGGCATAAATACTTTGATTCCTTTTACAGTCCGCTTAATTGGAGACAATTTATGGTATAATTAATTCCTGGTTGGGCGGCCGGTGGGCAGGTGGTTATTGCTAGACCTCACAGTGCAGAGTTTGTGGGTTCGATCTCAGCTGCGGCCTTCCTGTATGAAGTTTGCATGTTCTCCTGGGCCTGCATGGGTTTTCTCCGGGTACTCGGGTTTCCTCCTACATTCCAAAAACATGCATGGCAGGTTCATGGAACACTCTAAATTGTTCCTCATTGTGAGTGTGAGCGCGGATGGTTGTTCGTCTCTGTGTGCTCTGCGATTGGCTGGCAACCGCTTCGGGATGTCCCCCACTGACTGCCTGAACACGGCTGGGATAGGCTTCAGTACCCCCCCCCCCCACCCCCCGCGACCCTTGTGAGGATAAAGCGGATCGGAGAATGACTGAATAATTCGTGGTTAGGAGCTTTTTCCTGTGATAAGACATAACTTGAACACACTTTTCTTTCTATTCAGACACTTTTGAAATGGTATCAGAGGATGAGGATGGGAAGCTGATGTTCAAGGTCAACTACCATTACATGTCTCAGGTGAAGAATGCCAATGATACAAACAGTGCAGCCAGATCCCGTCGTCTTGCCCAAGAGGCTGTCACCCTTTCCACCTCTCTGCCTCTGTCATCCTCATCAAGTGTCTTTGTACGCTGTGATGAGGAGAGACTGGACATCATGAAGGTAAACCTGGCAATATGATATATTCAACCAAGTTATGTATATATTCTTAATTATGTGCATGTTTTCCACATATCACATTATTGGATCAAGTTAAATCTCAGTTAAATCTTAGGATTGGATCAGTTATAAATGTGTTTTTGAACATGCTTAATCTATCTGCTTATCACAATCAGTTGTTTCAAACTAGGTTGAAAGTTTATCCTGCAAAAAAACATATTTTTTCCACTTTGAAGTCATAGATGATAAGATGACGAAAGTTGGAAGTTGAGAAAGTAAATCACCAGAATTGCTTTTCCTCCCACTTGCCTCTCGGGGTTTATGAGTTGTCTACACAGCAACATCAGCAAAAAGTTGCCTGACCTTTGACGCGTCAGTATACCCCTGTGACTCCCCCCTGAAGCCATTGCATTTATTCCAACCAGTGTCCTTTTTTTTTTTTTTTGTCTTCAGAGACTTCTACAGCAGATTTAAGTGCAGAAGCATCGAATTGTTAAACCTGAATGTTCAACATCAGAATACACCTAATGCATGAACAGCATTATTTTAATTTTAATGAAATAAATAAAATTAAATACATTTAAATTAAATTTTAATTTATTCTTTTAATCATTGATTATTTTAATCATTTTCATGGAAGAAATTTAGTTTGCGTCCTAGAAACTACCCCCCCCCAGTTCTTCTTGAGTGAATCCTTCTTCGTCAAGCGGGTTCAAGACTCCAAACAAAATGCTCGCAAATCAGGCAATTTTTCAGTGTCTGTCAGTAAAAATTTCATCCAGCTGCACAGAGCGAGTTCATGTTTTCATGCTCACTCAATTTAAGACGTGGTTGAAAGTCGCAGTGTGTTTTTACAGTGCTTTAGCCAGCTTCCTCCTACACTCTCTCCTGTTGCAGTGACAGAGTGCCGTCTCCTTCTCTTTGGGCGCGTTCGGAAATAATCTTCGAGCACGTTCTGCTCCATTCCCAACTGTATGGAAATCTTTTTTTATTTCCCCAAATGTTTCATTTGATTTTTCAGAGTGTCTCTAGAGCAGCGTGCTCTGGACGCTCCCAACTGAGGACACGGGGCGGGGCGCCAGTGCGTCAGGCATTACTGATGGAAACAGTTCAAGCATAAGCTATCACTTGGTTATCATGCAGGATGTGTTCGGATATAATAAGAGGAGAGCGCGCTCTGCCTCTCCAAACACACATGATGCCACAGCTGGTTGCTTTTTCCACCTGGGTCACGTGCAGGTGCGAACACGCGTATGGTGAGCCGATAGGCTTACACTACACATCGGCTCACCATACACGCACGCGTACCATACACCGCAGACCGGAATAACAACAAGCATTTTACTCATTAGAACACGGAATTTTCTCATTCTCTATTTCTCATTTTTAACAAAATGAGAATAGAGTGATGGGTGCTGGGGTGAAAGAGAGCCTGTGAAAGTTACCAAATCAGATGATACTGATGATGAAAAAGGCAGTGAGGTATCAGTTGAGCAGCAGGTGAAGAAAAGAAAGTACTGCTTTTAATGGCTTAATTCTCAACATAAAAGAGATTTATGGCCTGCACACTGATACTAAGCAACAGTGGTTCCCAACCTTTTTTGGCTTGTGTACCCGGAACCTTTTGGTCATACCATGAATACCCCCTGACTCATGTTGATATTCCAAAAGTAGGACATAACACAATTTTTTTTAATACTTCATTCTTTTTCATAGTCCCCCCCCCAACTCAAATGTTGCCATGAAAATGAAGAAGTAATCTTCAAAAAAATATATACAGTAATCTCACATTTTTTGTGGTGAATTGGTTCTGGAACACCTCCCCTCCCCCCTGCAAAAAGTGAAAAACCACGAAGTAGGATTTGAATATGTATATTTTGCATTTTACTCATCACAGTCGTGAAGTTCACACTGGATCTGAGGCCAACTTCTAGTGCCCACCACTGGCGGTGGTCCTCATCACTTGTCCACAGCTGCCCAAACGTCAAGTGTGATAGCTAGTCCGCAAAATGATGAATTGAACACTAGCACACAAGAAACTTAATAATCGAGCCCAGGTTTATATGCATGTCACTTTCAGAAAAGCCTTCCCAAAGCAGCTTATCACACCTGCACACGTCTGAGATGGAATCACACTTCAGATAAGACTGGGCAACAGCAGATTTTAATCAGAGATGACTTTATGCATCCCTAAATCTGTTTTTGACCTTTACTTTTTCAAGCACATCAGCTTTTTCAAATAATTTCCTTTTGTTTTCCAAGTTTTACCTACAAGACCTTGCACAATATGGATTTTGCCATGCATTGTCATTCATAGCGATGATGTTGCAGAAAAAAATTCCACGTTGCTGAACCCTTAATTCATAAATATAAATAAATATATTACTATATGACATACTATATTACTGTTTTAAAATCAGCAGGGGGGAAAAAATAATCTACAGACGTTAACATGCATCTCTGATGGAAAAACAAAACATTAAAAATGTGTTGACCGCTGTATTCAGATGCATGATGCCATCAGTGCTACAATGACTTAAAAAAAAATAAGTATGGGCAGGAAGGATGGGTGCCTTTCACATTTGAACAGGATCGATACCTGGGAATCGATACTGGTGCTTCATCGTACCAATTTTCTGGACTTTTATGTGGGTGTTAATGGTATTAAATTTGAATTTCTTTCACAGTGAAATCTCTAAATGTTTCAAATCAACATTTATCTTCCAGAGTTAAGATGCCTTGCAAGGATGATTTATCTTAAATATCACTAAAAACCTGCAATATAGCAGAGCGGAAAGATGAACGACATAACAGAATGATGTGTACTTTTTCGCACTTAATTCTTTTTTCCCTCAATTTAATTTGCAGGTTCTCATCACTGGCCCAGCAGACACCCCATATGCCAATGGTTGCTTCGAATTTGATGTGTATTTTCCCCAAGATTATCCCAATTCACCTCCTTTGGTGAACCTGGAGACAACCGGTGGACACAGTGTGCGCTTTAACCCCAATCTCTACAATGATGGCAAAGTGAGTGGAAACATTTTGACACTGTTTGGGCATTTTGGAGGTAGAATTAAATCCCATAGGACTGGGCGATATCAAAGTATAATTGAACCCCTTCATGGTAACTGTTTATGATATAAATTTAAATGTGAAAATTAAAATGTGCAGTCGAACACAGCACCCTCGATGAACTAAAATTAGCCGAGTGGTGACCATATGTTTATTTTCTCATTTATATGTATTTTAAAGCTTTATACATACAATACAAAATATTCGTGAGAATGATGTGTACTTTTTCGCACTTAATTCTTTTTTCCCTCAATTTAATTTGCAGGTTCTCATCACTGGCCCAGCAGACACCCCATATGCCAATGGTTGCTTCGAATTTGATGTGTATTTTCCCCAAGATTATCCCAATTCACCTCCTTTGGTGAACCTGGAGACAACCGGTGGACACAGTGTGCGCTTTAACCCCAATCTCTACAATGATGGCAAAGTGAGTGGAAACATTTTGACACTGTTTGGGCATTTTGGAGGTAGAATTAAATCCCGTAGGACTCGGCGATATCAAAGTATAATTGAACCCCTTCATGGTGACTGTTTATGATATAAATTTAAGTGTGAAAATTAAAATGTGCAGTCAAACACAGCACCCTCGATGAACTAAAATTAGCCGAGTGGTGACCATATGTTTATTTTCTCATTTATATGTATTTTAAAGCTTTATACATGCAATACAAAATATTCGTGTGAGGTTTATTTACTTATTTATTTGTCCGTCCACTTGGCGTCACCATCCTTGCATTCTATACTGTAGTATCCGTGAGTTTAAATGTATGTATGATTATAGAGTTGGCTGATTAGGAATTCAGTGACTCGGTATCAGTTGTGGCTGCGCAGGAGCTCTGACAGGCTGCGTATGGATGGACTTGTTACATGTTCCTCTTGTTACAGTTTATTAAATAAAGCATCTGAAAGTGTACCAATGGCTTTTGACTACCTGCGATGGAAGCAGTGGAAGGCCACATAAAATTAGCTAACGATGTTTACTGTAGATGTGCAGCTGTGTAAGCCAATTCGTCTTTGCAATGGATACTTTATCCTTCTTATCGAAATAGAACATACCGCTGAATCGAGAACTTTGACACGTATAAAATAGCAAAGAGTTTGTTACTTTTATTTTAGCACACACTTTATTTTAAGCATAATTAACTCTTTCAGTACCAGCCAATTCTGGACCAAGTCTGAAAAGACGATCAAAAACGTCTTTGGGAGTGAATGAGTAAATGTGTATAATGATGGTCCCACATTGTCTACTCATAAATATTGGAAAACATGTAATTTAATAAAACAGAGCGCTTCATTGAAGGGGCTCGTAAACTGTGCCCATGTTTTGGCTTCCTGAATGGAGCTGTCTGTGCATCGCCTGCAGCCTCTCGTCTGTGTTGAGTGTTAGCGACTGTGTGTCAATGTCATCAAACTATTGTAGAACAACTGAGTGCGCACCCTGCGTCACACTACTGAAACTTTAATGCAAGTGGGATTCGTGTGGCGTCCTGTTTGTGGATTAAAGTGGGGTGGAAATGAAGGAATGAGTGTAGAAATGTCTAGTGTGCGTAGTGCACGCCAGCGTCATCGTGTGCGCTAACAGGGTGAGAGAAGTGCGCAATCACCCACGCGCGCAGTTAGAGTGAACATTGCTCTAGTAACTATTTAGAATAATAATAATCATAATAATAATGGCTCCAACTCTGTTCCTCAAATTTTGCCTTTCAACATTGTCATAAAAGGCATAAATAAGTTATTTGATATGATTTGTTTTTTTTTTTTTTTTCCCAACCTCACAAAAAATGTCCTCAGTTTTCTTTTGTTAATGCTGACAACATATTTTTACTTGACACCTACCGTATTGTACTGAGCAGCCAGGACCGACATTTATTGCTTTCCACTGACGCAATGTTTCTTGACTGGCTTTCTGGTTGAGGCTGAAGACTGGTAAAAAGGATGACATAATTAATCTGCCTGAATATGTATAGTAAATATTTGTAAGGATCTTACTCCTCCACTTCTCACATGCTGTTTTTTTTTGTTTTTTTTTTTAACGTGACATTTGGAATCAGACATCCACATCCTTCTCAGTAGCCCTGGCTGCTTTGCCTTTCCATTTAGGAAGGTTTAAGGTGCTTCAGTTCACCATCTGTTACGCCTCATTAGGCAGCAGCTCACAGTCCACATGTATTTCCATAATAGATCTAGACAGCTGCTATAAGAGATACTTGGGGCATCCCACATCAATGGTACAGCTTGGACAAAGCAGGAAGCAATTTAGTACACAGATGAGGGACAGTTGATTAAATGGCGGTGGAGGGCGAATGTCATAAGAAGCTTGTTGCGGAAGGGTTTGATCAAATTCTCTTTGACAGCTTTTGTCCTGACCGTGATGCTTGCATTATGTTTCAATCAATCAAAACATTTTCCAGATTAAATGTGCCACATTTCTAAATTAAATCTATCAAATTCATTCCAAGCACAGGTACGGTTTATGCAAACGTGAATTACAGTATTTTAGCACAAATCTGGATTAAAAACAGATCATTGAAATTGATGAAAAAGTGTATCCTGATTTTTGCCATTTGTGTTTAAAAAAAAAAAAAAAAAAAATCTGTGAGCCTGAATTTTCAAAAGTTCCTGCAATGCTCAGCAAACTTTCAAAAAGCTGTTTCGTTGATTATTTTTTTCCAACAAATTGACTGCCTTAGAAAATTTCATTTGCACATCAAAGTTGAACATCTTTAGGGATTTTTGCTTTTCCTTTGCCAGTGCAGTATAATCTGTATAACTCAAGAATTTATCACATATACAATGTATAACTCTATATTTTGGAATAAATTAAGTTCATATGCCGCACATCACTTTTTGGGGGGCTGTACAATGGAATGTTCCACACAATCTGCATAATTTAGTTGTATTGGCATAAATATTGGAATAAAATATTAGCATGTTGTACAACCCACCAATCGTATTCCAAGCAATTGACACAGTAAACCTCTCTCAATTTTATATACTGGGCTGACTAGATGAATTGAAAAAGTGTATCCTGATTTTTGCCATTTGTGTTTCTGTCAGGTATGTTTAAGTATCCTCAACACATGGCATGGGAGACCAGAGGAGAAGTGGAACCCACAAACCTCAAGCTTTCTACAGGTGAGTTGAACATCCATCATGACAGTCACCTGCTTGAAAAGATCCGCGGTGCTGCTTAATTGCAGTTATCCATGACATCACGTTTATGTTTTGCCGCTGTCACTTCAGGTGCTCTGCACTTAGATGCATATAGCAATACACCAAACACCAATGGCATTATCAAAGAAAGGGAATTTGTAGCGCCAGGACAAGCATTTTAAAATGGCACACACAAGCTACGATAGTGATGTTTCTGCACTTAACACGCTACATAATGCGTCCCTGGTGTAGGCTTGACCTAACAGCGTTTCCGCTTGGCTTCGGTTTCTTGTACAATAGTGTACAGACTGTTTTCCAACCGAAGATTATAAAAAAGAAAACGTTATCAGTCAATTTGTCTGTTATTTGCCATTGTGCTGCAGGTGCTAGTGTCAGTGCAGTCCCTCATCCTGGTGGCTGAGCCCTACTTCAACGAGCCAGGGTACGAGCGCTCCCGGGGGACTCCGAGCGGCACCCAGAGCTCACGGGAATACGATGGCAACATACGCCAGGCCACCGTAAAATGGGCCATGCTGGAACAGATGCGCAACCCATCACCATGCTTCAAAGAGGTAGGATCACAAAAGACTCAACAACTGTGTAAACATTGCGAATGCCAGCTGCTTGCTTCTACAAGCGGAAGCAAACCCATGAGTGTGGAAAACAAGCAGGTGCCCTTAGCTTTAAGACGGTGAAGGCATTTGAATTTGCAGGGACAGAAAATCTCTATGCACACATGGACAAATTGCCAAACAAACAGCTATACTGCAGCCCCTGAGACTTCTGAAGCGGGCTATAAAAGTGTTGTTGTTTGAGACGCTACTGCTGTTAGAGAGCTAATCTGCATTCATCAAAAATCATTGTCGCTCGGTATGCTTATTTTACAATTCCGGCGTGGTCAACCCCCTTTTTTTTTATTTAATAAAGCACAGTTTTATGATCATAGCATGTTTTATATATTAAGTGTTGACTAGTAGATCCAAGGATATCGTGATGTCTCCATCAAAATGGTTCATTTGGATTTTGTAAATTATATGTGACATGTAACCCTGCTGTTAGAAGGACTTAAACATGCCAAAGACCTAAACACATTGCCTTGATTTCTTTGGAAAATTTTTTAAAGAATGTGATTTTAGTTTGGGCTAAAATCATAAGGCCAAACAAAAAAAGATGTGTTTCCGGTAACATGAAATTTCAGCATAGGGTCGGTAGGTCGGACAAAGGTTTTTTTTGTCCCCCCATCAAAACTTTAAACAAAATAACCATAAAACATAAAACAAGGAGACATTGAACCCCCCCGCTCGCCGCCTAAGGCGGCGAGAGAGTTGGGTACCCGGCGGCTGGGTGTTAGGTTCCGAGGTCAGCCGGGTCGCAATGGCACCGCCGGGGAGAGGTCCCCGACACTGGCCGCGGCCCGGCCTGGACTAGAGTTGCGTATACTAGGCTGACGGTGCGTCGACGAGCGCGCAGGCGCGCGGGTCGGCGGGGTGGGCGGTCGGGGAACGACTCTATTTCGTTTTCTCCCCGCTACGGACTCGAGGGGCTGGGGCGTGCCGCCGCCTCCGCCGTCCTCCTCTGCCCTCGGTTTTTACTCGGCCCATGGTGTTCATCAAATAGTTGGCTGAATTTTTTCGATACATCAATGGATGCTATTTCCTTAACATTATGGCGTGAGCATGCCACTGTAACACTGAAAACGCGGTTTAAACTGTCGTCGGAGATCGCGGCCGCCGCCATGATTCAATGTTGTTGACAGACAACAGGGCGAATGACGCACGCGCTCAACGTGAATATCGCGAGAGTTTGCACCGATGTAAACCCTCTCCTCAAAAATGTAGAGGGTTGTTTGAAAAAAATGCCGAACGTAAAGTTTTTTTCGACGTAGAAATTTTCGGTCGGTTGGGTTACCGGAAACACACTACTTTTTTTTCTCCGCCTAATAAAAAATGTGTAATTAGGGAGCTGTGGCTCATTTGGTAGAGTGGGTGGTACAGTGAATGAAACATCACCGGTTCAAATCCCAGCACCTATTGTCAAAGTGTCCTTGAGCAAGACCACCCAATTTTCTCGCAGTGGGCCTGACGACACCTTCAAATGCCATGCACGGAAGCAGCTGCCCATTGTGTGTATGAATGTGCGAGAGGTGGGTGAATGGCTTTGTAATGTACTTTGGGACCATTTGATGTTGTAGATTTAGCGCGAGAAGTGCACTCCATTCACCATTTTACCATTTACTTATTTTATATAACATAGCAAAATTATGATTGCAAAATTTCGCAAGATATAAGAGAGACTTAAGCCTATTGCCCACCCATAGCTGCCATATTTATGGCTGAATGGGAGTTCCTACATTTTAGTTACTGTTGAAGTTACTGTTAAAATAGTCTTGAGCCTGAGACTCTGGTTTCCTTTAACTTGCAATTAGCCTGGGTGGAAGATGTGGTCAAGGGCCAAGCGCACCATGACATCATCTCTGTCGTTTTGAATTAAAGAAACTATTATTTTAGGAATGCCTCAAGGGACCGGAAAAATCACACTTGAGTCTGATACCGTAATGTGAAGTCATGACATTTAATCTCCTCCTCATACGTCAAAGTTCAGCTTGCGATGATTCACCAGAGCCTGTCAACAGACCAAAGTGAAGTTAGTGTAATATTGAATATTTTGCACACACGTATGAAATACCATCGGGAAAAAATGCTTTTTGACCTTGTGGTACATATTATTTGTCACATTTTTCCCTGGCATGGATAGTTGATTTTAAAACACTGAATGGACGACCCCATTCAATGCCTACATATAGAGAGAACTTGTTTCTGCTTCCATGTCTAAGAATCATGCTCAAGTCAGACTGAAGGCAAGCTGGACGTTTCTGGCTTTGTGTTTCTAACGTGACATGTAGGACAACGAAGTAAACTTCACAGCCAGTTTATGATAGCTGCTGGGACTGAAGGGGGAGAAAAAAGATTGGATAATGGTGAGTGCATTGACTTGTTTGAAGCTGTTGAACTGTCAACCAAGATAGTATTTAGGATTAGCGACAATGATAACACAATCACCGGTCACCAGATTGATGAGGGTTGTTCAAACTTTTTTTTCCCTTCATCCCATCCTCTTCATCGCTCCGAACAACCCCCGTGTAGTTGCACAGCGAACAAAAGCAAGTGAGACATACAGCGCTACCAGATATTTCCTGTTCAGTCTGAACGAACTATCATAGGACTTAATCTTTCAAATACACGTGGTACAATTCGAATAAAATGTTGAACATACAATGATTCCTTCATGTATGATAATATTTTAAAGTAAACCCGTTCATTGAGAATGCACCTAATAATGCAGTTCACCTAAAGGTCCGCAAATTACAGTTCTGTAAAGACATTTTTGAATTTCCTTCACTTAATGGGGGCTGAGCCTAGGAAATGTCTTTGCAATTGATAAATTTTAAGCATTTTTGCAAAGAAAAGTTGGCAAATATTGCCCCATCAAGATGTGTGCATGTCCAGTACATGCCACCAGGTTATTGTCTTTCTTTTGTTGTTGTTGTTCAAGTATTTCAGTTTGCTTTCCAGTCAAGTTGTTCAGTACATAGGTCACCTCAAAGGTGGAAAAACTTGAAATTATTCATCTTGGCCTGATTGTATAACATCACAAAAATCTGTGATTTTGGGGTGTAATATACACTGAAGCATATTATACTCCAGATATCACTGGAGTGAAAATATTATATATTGTTTATTAAACTCAAAATGGGATGGTGTAGATGCCATTTTATTTTTAGTAATTGTGTGTGAGAAAGGAGTGCCTAACTAGCGCGATAATGGGAGATGTGGAGGATGCGGCACAAGCGTGAATTGCACAGCAGCAGGTTGTCAGGTGGAATTAAGGACAATCGGTTCTATTCTAAAATATTGATGCCAGAGGGGGAAAGAATAAGTATACGCTTGGACCTTAGTGTGTGAAATGTGTTTGTAAACTGGGTGTGTATGAGTCCCGGTTCATAGTTCCATAATACTCAGTTCAGCAATATCAGGGTCAGCATCACGGGTATGACCATTTGATTTAAAATCATAAGTTGTAACAGATTTTCCTGGACAATGGCACTGTGGATTGCATCTTCCTTCAAGTACAGTATTATTTGACTGATGTTAAAAGCCTGCACTCATGGAGCGGGCATCCAGGCTCTGCGGTAATGTCTGTGTCGTTGCATCCACCCTTGTTGAAATCGTCCGGATCGGGCTCGACACGGTCGCCCGGGGAACCCCCGTTCCCTCATCAACAGAACCGTAAAAGGTGGAGTTTATCGACATTCCAATTTTTAATAATCCAGCCCCGGAACCAGTTTAGTACCGAGGTTCGGTTCTCATTGCTGAAGATGTTTTGTCAACCTCAGGCTTTAAACGTCGATGCTGTGTAAGAGAGTTGACTTATCAGTTCAACCTGATGGTATCCGCAAATTGTACGCAAGTGTTAGTTCGCTGGTACGTTACCAGAAGCTTCCGTCAGGAAGTCAAAATCAAGTACAGTGATCCCTCGCTATTTCGCGGTTCGTTAATCGCGGATTCGGTGCATTGCGGATTTTTTCAAACATATAAAAATTTTTTTCTCATACTGTGTTCCATCCATACAGTACTGTATATGCAGCTTCTCACGACTGTTTGCGGACTTTAAAATATATATTTATTTCTTTATATATATATACAAGTACAACTTAGATGAAATTTCCTCCCTCTTAAACAGACAACAGACAACAAGAGGAACCGCTGCGGGTGCCCGCGCCACCATCAAAAGAACACTTAACATAAACTGACAAAATAATACAACACAACACATAAAACAGACAGTTGTGCCTTCTTAACCACTTTTCCTGCATACACTTTGTTGTTTGAAGCAGTAATAGATGAAAGAGGAGTGAATCAAAGGCTCCTTTTTACCAGTGGATCAAAGACGTCATGCTGAAATGTGCACACGTCTGCTACAAACTAAGCTTGAAAGCAACAAGAAGCTGTAGCATCCATTAACGAAAAAGAGATTGGCTCTCTTCTCCTGTCCCATGTAAATCCGCTTCAATTCCAAGCTGCGACTCCCAGTTCCACATACGCATCGGCGCTCTGTGCTGACGCTCCTTTCTTCTCATCATTGGCTCCTCAAGCCATGCATCCATCCAGCCGCATACTGTCCATCAGCACCGACCTTTTCGCTGAACAAAGCGGGGCTGTGGAAATGCTGCCGATTTCAGGCGCAAGACATAAGCACCCCGGAGCTGTCCAGGAACGACAGTCAAATGGCGCCAACATTCCTCCCGATCAAAATCAGTGCTGGTACAAGTGTGCCGCCGAGAAGGCGCAACCACCAAGCACAGATTCTTCTTCTTTGCCGAATGTCATGGCCAAAAATGCTAAAAACAGTCCACATCAGGTCCACACGACGTAACAACAATCACAAAGTGACAAAACAAACACAAAAACAACAAAAAACGCAAGGCTCTTGAAGAGCAATTGCAGACGGCTGCCTACTCAGGTGCCATCTTGGGGGAAAAAAAATGAGTTGGTTGGCTGCCTCAGTGTGTTACTGATTGGAATATGTAAAACGATGAATAACAACTAGATAACAGTGATGTGATTCACTCCTGTCCTTGACCCGCCAACCGACAGACAGCTTCCGCATATCCATCCCTTGGCTCGTCTTCCCCTCGTGGTTGCCCTGTGGAATAATGAGTGGACAGCATTACCTTAAAGGTCACTGAGTTTATCTGGTCGTCAGGGATCTTCCTCTGCCAGTGGACTTCATCTGCGACTGCACGTTTCCTTCATGTGTGCTCGTGTGCTTCTCTGTGTTTGTTTGCATCGTGTGTCTTTGCATACTGTGATTGACGGCCATGTCCAAATACCAAAAGTCAAGTGGCTGTTTGTCGCCGCTACACGGAGCCTCGGGGGAAACATCCTTTTTTTAACCTCACTATGTTTGCCATGTCTGCTCATGATGTCGGCCATGTGCTTGTCGTTGAGATTTTTGTCACAAATCCTGTCTTGGCCTGGAGAGAGCTTCGGCAGCCGCTCAAATTTGCCATTTTTTAACCACACATCAGTGACCTTGAAACATTCATTCTCAGATGGGGAAACCATCACTCACCTCGGTGGATGTAACGCAGGCGGCGTGTGGGCGTCGGGTGGAGGGAAACGAGGATGAGCTGGGAAGTTGTGATTGTGATGGATAGAGCGGAAAAGGACATGGAAGGAAGATCGAGATTAAAGTGGTCCACCAACCCTCTCTGCTGCTTCTTTTGCAGCAAATCAGCAGTGACCACACCTAATGCAGCAGTTGGGCAGCAGATCAAGGGTGACACACATTCTCTGCTCACCCCCACCAGCAAGCTAGCTGGAGGATAGAAGGGTGTAAAACCAGCGAACCGAAGTGACAGTGAAGCGAACATGATTGATATTTCTGCAGTAAAGTGTTGAAGATAAGATGTCAAAATATGACTTAAGTCCCCTTGGTAGTAAACCGTCTCCCAGTTTTGTCGAGGGAGGTTTTGTCGAAAATAGAAGAAAATAGATTCCGTCCATGCTTTGTTTGACACACTTGGGTCTTCACTTTCTGTGCTGTATTCCTTTGTTCTTGTTTAGCCTCGGACTACATATTCAACTTACTCCAGCAGTCGTATGACAGCTGTTGCCCTGTTACTACTTCCAATAAAACCTAACCACCATCAAGGGACTCGGGCATATATATATATATATATATATATAGTTTCTGAACATAACTGAGCGTTTTTTTACCACTGTTATTTCATCTACTGAAGAGACACAGTAAGATAAGGAGACAGATGACCTGAATTGCCCAGGGAATCAGTTGACAACATGACGTGGAGTCCGAATGACATTTAAAGCTGAGCTAATCAGGAACTATTCACTTGGCCTCAACTTTACACGTGACACACAGGCCACACATGAATAAAAACATTTAGTCAATAATCTACTGTGGAAGCCGACTTCCGGACGGCTTCGAGGAAATTCTGGTCCACCATCCGACGTCTCAGGAGGGGGAAGCAGTGCACCAATAACACTGTGTACAGTGGGGATGGGGCGCTGCTGACTTCGACTCGGGACG